GTCGCAACGCATAAAATACTGTAATATGAATGTATATAAACTGATTTACATTCAATGATTTCCGTTTTTACTCCAATTTCAAATCAGTTATGTTCGGCGAAATAAACCAGCAGTCTCAAGCGAGTGCAAATTTCTAGCGTCTGGTTCTTCCAGTCTACATACGCCGTTTGAATTGGTGCAATGTGTCTAGCCTCGTCCCTCGAGTCTCTTGATACAACTGGGGCTGAAGCGCATTATGGTACACGATTCGTGTTTATTTTGTCTTAAATATTGGATATCAAAAGCCCATCTTTTTCCGGTAAGATCACAACATAAATGTTGATTTAATTTGACAATGTTGAAGATTTTGGATGATATTGAGTTAGAGACTTTGCTACTTTAAATTATATAAACGTTATTTTTTTAATCTTTGAATTTTATATCAGTAATATGTCTTACTACATGTTTATTTGCAAATAATCCCAGAATTGCATTTGGCTCGCTACATATATATTTCATCAAGGATTGTCATTACTAGGTAAACTTTAGAAGAACCGACCGCACTGACAATGTCTTGTTAAAGTCTAAAAGTCGTATCGTTCCGGTTTAGAATATCAGACGCTATATTTGGTAAAACCGATAGCACTAGCTGTTCGCATTGCCCTAATGTATTAGACGCTATATTTGGTAAAACTAATAGCACAATGTCTTGAAGTTGTTCGCATTATCCTAATGTATTAGACAATCAGACGCTATATTTGGCAGTGTTGGTGTTCCGTAGAAATTGATTTATATTACGTGATAAGTATAATTCTGGTTAGTTAAAGTATCTATAAATCACATCTAGCATGTCGTGTATTATATAGAAATATCTAATACAATCACAGCCTATATGTGTATAAATCATACCAAACTATTACACTATATAAATTATAGACAATTTATTTATATAGGCCTATATAATACTGTAAACTGGGCTCTCAGATGCAGTCTCTGCTGAGGTTACGAGGTAAGGAGCAAGCGGCAAGTGGGTAGGCACACAGGGTGTTGCGTATGTCGAGGGGGGGGGGGGAGTAGGCATCGTCAAGGGGTCTCACATACCCTGGATCAAAGATACTAGGACTTTCCAAGGGTCGCCGAGAGCGTTTAATATGGATTGTAAAGGGGGAAAAACAAGTGTTAAAGCAAACTGCTCTCAAAACTGCAAACCATAATCGGGGTCTTCGCTTTGAATGAACCCTGTAGAATTTGGGCGCCTACGGTCTCCTACCGAAAGCACTGTTGTTCTCCGTCGGCCACCGCTCCAACTAGACAAAGATTTAAAACAATTTGATGACGAAAAAATTTAAGGTGTGTAATACGACCCCCAATCGGGGTTGAGACTCGGGTATATGGCATGGGGGAGCCAACGCATTCAAGATATTGGTATTTTATTAAATGATCAGACTGCCCTCTTAGTTGATCAAAATCAGTTGATTTTTAACACTGTCCATAACTCTTTAAAATTGTCAAAACGATTCTAACGTCCAAATCATCCCCGTCTGTTATTGATTTATTTATCCAATAATTCATATATATATACATAAAATACCTGATAACATTTAACGTTTAGGTAGGTCTTATATGAAGGGGTGGGGGTTTGCGGCACTACTACATTGCTACCAAATAAAAAAAGGTAAAACAAATATAAAGTAACGGAACGGACAACTGTTTATTTTCAAATAATTTTTATATTTTGTATTTTTATAAGTTCTTGATGTATATATGTTCTATATTACATAAATTAAATAAGATAGGTTGCCAGGCAACGAAACATACGCCCACAGCAGCTAAATCGTCCGGGCAGTCAACAAGGGTTGTCGCATATTTTTACTTTTTTCGGTAATGAAACATTTATAATACACTAAAATCTGATTAAGAGCAACAACTCACAGAAAACTATTAGAATTTGTTTGGTTTTTATAAAGTTCTGCCCCATGCTAACGTTTTGTATGCAAAGCTTTTAATATCATGGAATTAACTGTTTAAGTCATAAAAATTCATTGAAAATCAATATACTTGATCTTAAACTCTGTGTATCAATCTGAAGTCAATCAGATGATAACTTTAGCCTCTAGAGCGTCACAAGATTTTCGTCTCATGACCTCAAACACTGTGTATAAATTTAAACTCAATCGGATATTAACTTTAGACTCAAGAGCATCCACAAGATTTTTTGAAGTGATCAAGGGCCATAACTCTGGCAGTAATTATCGGAAATCGCTGAAAATCAATAGGCTTCATCGTCTCATGACCTTAAACACTGTGTATTAATTTAAGGTCAATTGGATATTAACTTTGGCCTCTAGAGCGTCCACAAGATTTTTCAAAGTGATCAAGGGCCATAACTCTGGCAGTAATTATCGGAGGTCGCTGAAAATCATAGGCTTCTTCGTCTCAAGACCTTAAACACTGTGTATAAATTTAAAGTCAATCAGATATTAACTTTAGCCTCTAGAGCGTCCACAAGCAATTGTGGATGCCGGACCGCCGGACGGGGGCGACGACAATATACAACCACATTTCAATGTGGGCGTATAAAAATATAACATTGTTTACAAATCAAAAAAATAAACACTGGGACCTGGTTGTGAGATGTAAATCGTTGTGAAAAAGGAAGATATGATTTCTGCTTCCTGGGTCCAACCTATGAAGTATATCTATATACTGGAGACTGGAAGTGTTATGATGCAAATTTTGACCTTTTTTGTGGGCGTAGCAGATCGGGCAGATTTTAAGTGGTCAGATTAGGGATGTGCCCCACTGAATCCAGTCAGATTTGATATTTTTAGAATCGGCTCGTACATAGCTAACATTTGGCACCAATCTCAACTATATTACTTATGAGGCAAATTTTGGCCCCCGTCCACACTTTTTAAGGCAGTCAGAAAAGGGCATGGCCCCCTTTTTTTCTGTCAGATTTATATTTTTTATATTCATACATTGTATGGCAATATTTTAGAAATAATTCTGATCTTATTACATATGAGGCAAATTTGAGTCCTTTTTGGCCCTTTTGATCTGCCCCTCCCTGACAAATGCCCCACTGAAACCTCGCAAGACTGGGGGTTTTGAATTTGCCCTATCAATAGCTGCCAATTAATATGGTCAAACCTTTTATTTACTTATGAGGCAGTTTTTTCGTCACTGGCTCTTGGTCTATTAGTAGAGCAGATACTGGAGGCCATTCTGATGATTTACCATATGGACTTTACGTTATGAGACAGGACGGGTTTATAGATCATGAAACATGTGAGGGCCACATCAAGCCACAAACTAAAGGTCATGAACAGTACAGTTGTCTTCTCAACACAAAGCCAAGATAAGTAAAATATTTGTCGAGTTAATCCACTTGAGATGAAGAGGCAATTATAGATAGTGACCACTTGACATATGAGGGGTATATATTATATGTCGGTATATATTTCACACCCCCACAAGGTTCAACATATTTAAACAAAAATATTATCTCTATTAGTAAGTGCAGGGGGACCGCACTACACACAAAACAAATATCTACAAGATAAACCGGCTGACAAGACAGAAAATAGACATTGCAAAAAATAAAACAAATATCAAATCAAGTGAATGGATCTGGGGGGGCCAGCCGTAAACGTCCACAAGGGGGGTAGGGTTAGGGTTGACAGATAAACTTTAGGTTAGGGGGTCTCTATACACTGTAACCCAGGTATCATTTAATCTTGTGTTATCTATCACTATTTTCTTTCACATTCGTTTAATATCAAATCTTTGTTTAAATTTTTTTTAAAATTGTTTAAAATCACTCAAAATCATCTAATTTGTACTGTTTAAAGCTGACTGATCAGTTTTGATTTTGATTGTCCAATTTCCAAGTATTTAATTTCCTGTTCAAAAATTAATCGTTTATACACCAATAATTCATTGGGTTGTTTATTTTTTAACAGTGATCGGGGAAACTAAAGGTGTGTAAATTGTTTAACTTCTCAATCACTGTTAAAAAATAAACAGGGGTCCGGAAATTAAATACTTGTAAATTGGACACACATAATCAAAATTGAATGGTCAGCTTTAAACTGGACACAAGTACCAATTAGATGATTATTGGTGATTTTAAACAATATTTACAATTTTTTTAAAAAAGATTTGATATTGAATGAATGGTAAAGAAATTAGTGCAAAATACACAAGAAGAGAGTGAGAGAGAGAGAGAGAGAGAGAGAGAGAGAGAGAAATGGGTTTAACCTCCACTCGACACAAACTAGGTCATTTCGGGACTAACATATGGTTTAATTTTATTTACATAATCCGCTTGCGCGTAGGGGTCCTTGGCAGTGGGAGGAAACCGGAGGACCCGGAGAAAACCCACGAGGTTGGACAGGCGACCCTACTCCTTGCCACGTACAACCGGGGATTCGAAACCACGCCAGTCGACTCAATGACAGACTTTATGATACAGCGCGCGCACGCTAACCATTCAGCCATCCAACCCCCCTAATTCAAGAGAGAGAGAAATAGGGTTTAACATCCACTCGACACAAACTAGGTCATTTCAGGACTAACATATGGTTTAATTTCATTTCAATAATTTGCTTACACGTAGGGTTCTTTTAGCAGTGGGTGGAAACCGGAGGACCCGGAGAAAACCCACGAGGTTGGACAGGCGACCCTTATCCTTGTCACAAACACCTGGGGATGAGAAACCACGCCAGTTGAGTCAATGACAGGCCTTATGATACAGCGCGCACATGAATACACAAGAATAAATGATACTTGGGTTACAGTGATAGTAGGCTACGCTTTGTGAAATAGGGTTTAACATCCTACTTGTTCTCCACCTACGGACTATCAAGACAGACATATTATACCATGCCGTGTGCTCTGAAGGAAATTCTGGCAGGATAGCAGAGCTAGGGCCTACTCTTAAATCAAATTTCAACTGTCAAGTGTTTCAGTCCCATCCCAACGATACTATTCCTAGTAACCAATAACACTTTGATTCATTCATTTTGAAATATTTATTTCAGTTTTTATACAGATCTTTGATTCAGATGTTTATGAGAATGTTTTTTAAAATGAGTAATACCTTAATACAGACTTAATGCACACATATAACACAATCAACTGCTCATATCAAATTCTATAACACTCCGATTTGCAATCTGATTAAAATACAGATCTATATTTTGTTTAGTTTTTATTTACTTTCCACGGCCTACACTACATGAAGATCTGACCAGTTGTAGTTGGAGAATGCGTCAGGGGTCATACAAGCGGCTTTTAACCCTATGACATCAGACATTGATTAATCAATCAGCAATGACGTTTCTAGTGGTTTACCCACAGTTTCATGCACAGCACGCCAAGAACGCGCTGTAACAGACCGTTTCATTGGCTAAACCATCACATTTTGAACTATAAAAACTGAAACGAAATAGGATCTGTGTTTTAATCAGATTGTCGGATTAGTTTCTATGATTGATCACTAGAAATAAAGCAAAAATGAAATATTTCTTGTCTGAGATGGTTGGTAGCACTAGAATGATAAAGTTATGATATATTTTGACAAGATATCCTGTATTTATTCTTTGAATGGCGTTTAATAATTAGGACACAATCAATTAAAACACTATTTATGGTAACAACTACAATTTGTGTTTTATATGCTTGATAACCACTTGGTTAAATCTTGTTTAAACATAAATCTTGTTATACATAAATAATGTTTTAACTGATCCAAGTAAATTATAGTTTTATGAAACAAATGAAATGAAATGGGGTTTAACATCAGGGCCGTATGTAGGATTTTAAAAGTGGGGGTGCAGCAGAGTGGTGGGGCGCCTTAGCCTCCACGTATGTGATATAAGAAAGTTTCAATTAGGGCAAACAAACCCATTGAGGTGTGAGCGCCCTTAAAACCGATTGACTGATCAGTGCCTTAAGAGTACCACTGTGTGATCATAATCAAGTGTATTATTTTATAATTGAAAGATTGTCAAATAATTTTAGTTTTTTTGGAAGGGGGGGGGGGGCGCAATTTTTTGGGGCACCTTATTTTTCTGGGGGTGCAATGTACCCCCTGCACCCCCGCTAAATACGGCCCTGTTTAACATCCTACTGTTCTGCTCCAAACTGGGCTAATGAAGACATTTAAGAAACGGAAAAATTTGAAAATCCAGGGCTTATTATATAAATACAATTAGGTACTTTATCTATATTGTAAACATATAATTATTTTAATAACATCTACATTAAGGTCAGCGGAGTTTTATGCCCACTTTGTGGCAGTGATATACACAACAATGATATTATGTAAAATATATAATAATGTTTAAAATGATGGAGATATAAATGATAAAAGCAAGAATTTAAATATAATCAACACCACCCCATTTGACTCAATAACAGACCATTTGACTCAATGACAGACCATTTGACTCAATGATTTCCCGAGCATAGATAAACTACTACACCAATCATAAATGGAATAACCATTTTTTTAATGTTGGTGTATGTTTATCAATACATCCATAAATAACACTTCCTCTGGAGCATTCAGGATTTTTTCTGCTTCCAACCTGAAAATTAAATTTGACAATGTAAATATGAGAGAGAGAGAGAGAGAGAGAGAGAGAGAGAGAGAGAGAGAGAGAGAGAGAGGGGTAACCTCCACTTGACACGAACTAGGTCATTTTGGAACTAACAACATATGGTTCAATTTTTTTCAATAACTTGGTTGCGTGTTGGGGTCTTTAGCAGTGGGAGGAAACCGGAGAACCCCGAGAAAACCTACAACCAGGGAATCGAAATCATGCCAGTTGACTCAGTGACAGACCTTATGATACAATGTGCACGCACTAACCATTCTGCCATCCCCCCCGACAATGACACTTTTAATTTCAGTGTGACTCTCAAGAAACTGTAGGGCCAAATGCAACAATTTAACTTTATTTGAAATAAGAAGCACTCATAAAACGATAAAATTGAGAAATTGAGCTAAGTTAATGTTCAACAACATGTGACCATAAGACGTTACTATAAATAGGTCATGTGGTTCTTAACAAGTTTGCCCAGACAGTGCCAATGCTTCCTGGAATTCTTAATGTGCACCTTGTGTTTTCATCCCATCTGAATAATAAAACATGGTTCCTTGCCAGGTCTTGGATCACTTGCATCACTGACAAGAAGAAACCATACTGGACAAAACCTGAGGAGATTTCTCGGCCAAGGCTAGAATCGAACCCGAGTCGTCCTGGTGAGTCAGCGCCTTATTCTCTGAACCACCGTTGATTCCATGGTTACCAGATGGTTCCATATAGTTATAATTATCTATAAACTTACCTATTTACAGAGCTTCAAATGGTATGGTTCTTGAAACAGCTAATGTGTCTTTCAACATGTGATTACGAAGAGCCCATAATGCATTAGTAACGTTACCATGGTAACCAGCACCTTGTGATAACCATTGTGTAGGAAGTCGTGCCGCGTTCGGTATGGTCGTATTTTCAGGTGTAGCTGTCAGCTGTTTGTCCCAATCGCCGATTGTTCTACTCTCAGCATTTAAACCTTCTATATACCTGTAATGAACATTAAAACCTTCTATATACATGTACCTGTAAACCTTCTATATACCTGTAATAATCATTTAAACCTTCTATATACATGTACCTGTAAACCTTCTATATACCTGTAATGAACATTAAAACTTTCTATATACATGTACCTGTAAACCTTCTATATACCTGTAATAATCATTTAAACCTTCTATATACATGTACCTGTACACCTTCTATATACCTGTAATGAACATTAAAACCTTCTATATACATGTACCTGTAAACCTTCTTTATACCTGTAATAATCATTTAAACCTTCTATATACCTGTAATGAACATTAAAACCTTCTATATACATGTACCTGTAAACCTTCTATATACCTGTAATAATCATTTAAACCTTCTATATACATGTACCTGTAAACCTTCTATATACCAGTAATAATCATTTAAACCTTCTATATACATGTACCTGTAAACCTTCTATATACCTGTAATGAACATCAAAACCTTCTATATACATGTACCTGTAATAATCATTTAAACCTTCTATCTACCTGTAATAAACATTTAAACCTTCTATCTACCTGTAATAATCATTTAAACCTTCTATCTACCTGTAAAAAACATTTAAACCTTCTATATACCTGTAATAAACATTTAAACACCTGTAATAATCATTTAAACCTTCTATCTACCTGTAATAAACATTTAAACCTTCTATATACCTGTAATAAACATTTAAACCTTCTATATACCTGTAATAAACATTTAAACACCTGTAATAATCATTTAAACCTTCTATATACCTGTAATAATCATTTAAACCTTCTATATACCTGCAAACACAACACAATGTTTAAAATCAATTGAAAACAAAATAAGCCATGGACTTGCAGTTGTACAGCAGGAAGAGCAGCAATTAAAGTATGATGACAAGGTATTGTTTATAAATACTGATAGACAGCAATCACGAGCTTGGCGTCATGGTTTTGAGTTATTGCGCCTCCTTGAGTTTTTGTGTCCCTTCGCAAATAGCAAAAAATCACATGGTTTCAATGCGGTTTCTAACCTTATATTCATAATCATAATACTTAACCAGTGTCAAACATATACCGTGGGTGATATGCTACAAATCGACTCTAGCATGTGTAGTACTATCGGCCTTCTTTCCTTGTTGTGTTTGTTTCCTTTGTGATCGTAATATATAACACTACTGGTTAAATGGTTCTTACAACTTTTTTGTTAAGCTGTAATGGCTTCGAAAGATAGAATTTGATGGATATTTTGACAATGGTTATGATTTTACCAAAATATCACTGTTTTTTTTATGTATAAATATATATTCCCGTTCATTAATTAAGTACATGTGATTTGACTCAGAGTGAAGCAACAATTTTTCAAAGAACCAATATTGTCTTAAGGACCAAAGTGCTACACATGTTCCACAAAGTAATGGATATCTTACTTTAGATAGGCTTCGGAATGTAACAATCTTTGTGTTCTTGGTGGTACAGAGACAAATATAGGTGATGGTGGTCGGGGTGGTGGAGGTGGTACCATTGGCTGTCCTGAAAATAACGGTATTAAACATATCAATCATTTATAATTCTAAAAAAAGATATTTGCTTCTTTTCAATGTGTCTAAATTATGAGTCTAATTCTCATTTCTTTTGTTTGTAATAAGTGGTATCACAAAATTGTCAAATCTACGGTTATAACCCAAATTTATATGCCCAACAGATAACGCTTTAGTAAGTACAATAGAGAAGAAATCGTTTTCATTTAAATCAAAAATTTTGAACTTGTTCATAAAGTCTTAAACGAAATACCCATAACTTGTGAGATAAAACTACTTGTATTATAAGAAAAGCTAAACTTTACTGAAAAAAATAAACAATTACATAATGATAATATGCATTATATACCCTTCATGTGGCCCTATAATATATCCTTCACGTGGCCCTATAATATACCCTTCATGTGGCCCTATAATATACCCTTCAGATGGCCCTATAATATACCCTTCACGTGGCCCTATAATATACCCTTCACGTGGCCCTATAATATACGCTTCACATGGCCCTATAATATACCCTTCATTATAATACATGTGACTTACCCTTCATGTGGCCCTGTAATAAACCCTTCATGTGGCCCTATAATATACCCTTCATGTGAACTACCCTTCATGTAGCCCTATAATATACCCTTCATGTGGCCCTATAATATACCCTTCATGTGGCCCTATAATATATCCCTCATGTGGCCCTATAATATACCCATCATTTGGCCCTATAATATACCCTTCATGTGACCTACCCTTCATGTTGCCCAATAATATACCCTTCATGTAACCCTATAATATACCCTTCATGTATAATACATGTATACCCTTCATGTAAATAACATGCTGTTATAAAGCCTAAAGTTTAGCTTAAATATTTGATTAAATGTATTTATTACATACAATACCAAATCTGATTGTAAAATACTACTCATATCAATATGAATACTACATATATATTATTAATTATAAGGCACTAAGAGTTATTATAAAATATACATTAAGTGGGTCCTGTAACCTGAGTATCATTTAATCTTATGTTTTTAGCACTAATTTCTTTCAAATTCAATCAATATCAAATCTTTGTTTGAAAATTTGTATGAATCGTCTAAAATCAACCCAAATCATCTAATTTGTACTTGTTTAATTTTGAGAATGAGCGTCCAATTTACAAGCATTTTAATTTTCTAATCACGGTTCAAAAACAAATAACCCAAATGATTATTGATGTATAATGATTAATTTTTGAACAGTGGTACAAATTAAATGATTTTGTGTGGGGTTTTACTATTTTTACAAATTGTGAAACCAAGATTTGTTATTAAATGACTGTGAAAGAAATTAGGCCCATATAACCCCTGGGTTACAGTGGCCAGGGGAGTTGTTAGAGTTACATGTATTATAAACATTCTATATGGATTTAGTTTTATTGCGCAAATATTGATTATAAGTTATAACAGGTTGTTAGCTATGTTAACTCCCTAATGAGAAGTGATATCAGATGTTCTACAAAGATTAAGTCTATACTGCCCAACACAACCAATTTATTTTCTATAACATATATTTAGTAGATATTAAAGTTCTGTTGTTAACTGTAAGTAGTTGTTAATGTTCTGTTGTTAGTAGGTTTGGGTGTGTATATGAATGATGTAGATTTTTGTTAGGTCAGGATATAATCTGTTTCCCCTTGTCAGTGGTGCAGGATGGAGGGCCTGACAAGGACAGCTGTCTAGTTGTTCGGATGAGACAAAAAAAACGAGGTCCTGTGTATACATTGGCATGCATGTAAAAGATCCCTTGGCAGTTGGAATTTGATATAAGAGTAGACCATTATGCCACTGTCCAGGCAAAATTTCCCTCATAGTACACTGTATGGCATATGCCTGTCTTCATTAGCCCAGTCGGAGCAGAACAGTAGGATTTTAAACCCCATCTCATTTCATTTCAGATTATAATCTACACATTAAAGAAAATGCTTCAAAAATCATCACCAGCTACATGTATGCTATGTAATAATGTTAGACTGGCAGTGATGATAAAGGTAGGAAATAATGTTTATGTCATCATAGTCACACTACAATACAATCCAGTTCTACTTTTAGCGAAACGATGCTAGTCTTAGCAATGATGTTAGTAAATCGCCAGCCCTCTATAGTACGTATGCTATATGATGTTAGGGTTACCAATGATGCTAGTAGATCGCCATCACACTATAGTATGCTATATGATGTTAATTTAATAAAGATGTTATAAGATCGCCACCACACTGTCAGTATACAATGCTAGGTTTAGCAACAATGTTAGTAGTTCGCCATCACACTAATGTTAGTAGATCGCCATCACACTATAGTATGCTATACAACGTTAGTAGATTGCCATCACACTAACATTGTTATACAATGCTAGGTTTAGCGATGATGTTAGTACACTATATAGTATGCTATACCATGTTAGTAGATCGCAATCTCACTATAGAATGCTATACATGTACAATGTTAGTAGATTGCCATCACACTGTAGTATGCTATACAATGTTAGTAGATTGCCATCACACTGTAGTATGCTATACAATGTTAGTAGATTGCCATCACACTATAGTATGCTATAAATGATGTTAGTAGATCACCATCACACTATAGTATGCTATATGATGTTAGGGTTACCAGTGATGTTAGTAGTTCGCCATGACACTATAGTATGGTATACAATGTTAGTAGATCGCCGTCACACTGTAGTATGCTATTCAATGTTAGTAGAATGCCATCACACTGCTATAGAATGCTAGGTTCAGCCATGCTACATCACGCTATACAATATGATGCAATACCTGGTAATCCCGACATGCCGTTTGTCAATGAATTAGGACTGGGTGGTAACATGGGATATGAGCAAGGCGATAAACCTGCACCGTTAGGAGGAAGACTACCTGCTACACCTGGTGGTGACGCATTCATAAACATTCGTTGACCAGGTTGTGGCATACCTCGTGGTCCAGGATAGCCAGACACACCATATACCATTCCTTGTAAACAAAATCACCATAGCAACCAGTAACATGGCAACAACACAGGAAGTAGAAGAAGAAGATGCAAAGAGACAGAGAAGTTGGGATTATGGGAATAAAAATCAAATAATCTGATCTAGGTTAGATTCAAAATTCAAAACTTTGTTCTTTTAATTTATATGTTTTGCAAGATAATACCATTTTTTAGTTTCCTTTTTGAGTTGACCATTTGTTTAGTGCCTGGATAACCATCATTATATCCTTACTGAATTTGTAGTAGAAAGTGATCATCATGATTATCAAGTCATTCATATAATTGAAAAATGAAATTCCAAAAATAGGTAAAGTAAATTTTGAGATCATTTTCAAACAGCTGAATATTTTGATTCAAAGCTTTCTGACTGAGCTCTGTACACAAGCCAAATTATTACATTTAGGCTTTCTGACAGAGCTCAGTACACAAGCTATGTTATTACGTTTAGGCTTTCTGACAGAGCTCAGTACACAAGCCATGTTATCACATTTAGGCTTTTGATTTACAGAAATCAACATAGAATACCCATAATCCTAACTATGTTATAGATGATAGATTACAACAGTCAACATTTAATATAAACAAACATTCAATCAAATTATGGAGATTTAATTAGAATTCTTACATCATGCTGAATTCTCAATAATACATTTAATTACAGTGAGTCCTGGGGTTTTTCATCATCTTGTGAAACATTCTATATAGATCAAGTATTTTACAATCAACCCCTTTGATGGTTTCTACTTGGTTATCTCTCCTTGTTTCAATGTTCCATATTGTGCGTATGTATCTTCAATGTAGTATGGTTGTCATTCTTTACATGATAAAGACGGAGAACTCTCATTGACACATCGTCAGAAATAAACTTTTAAGTAACTTGTATTCCACATAATTGTTTCATGTTTTATTTCCATTTAGCTACTAAATAGCGCTTAAACAATTTATTTAACATGATCTTGTGAAAAATTCTATTTTCTGAGAATAAAATATTGTTTATAAAAAGAAAAAGCAAGTCTAAATGTATTACTTTAATGTTCGACTGTTTTGTTACAAGATGTGTAAGTTTTTTAACAATAATTAGTTTAATCCCATGGCATTGTTGATTATCTGTGCAAGTTGAAAATATGTGAAAGATTAAAGAAAGTATAGATACCCCTGCCAAAAGAAAGAAGATACCGGCCCAACCCCCTGCCATAGATTTTTAACGAGCCATAAAATGATGCCACATACTAATAAAACTTTCATATCAACAGTCAAATTTGAGTTAAATTGTCAATAAAACTCTCATATCAGCCGTTGAATTCAAGTTAAATTGTCAATAAAACTTTCATATCAGCCATCAAATTGAAGTTAAATTGTCAAAGCTGAGTAACAAAATCTTTGTTGTTGAATTCATGTTCAAAATGAAGAATTTGTAAAACTGAGTAATAGAATCTTTGGTAAAATCATGGTATAATTCCCAAAATGATCAGTTCATTTACAAAGCAATAAATCAATAAAACTTGATAATGTTTCAAAGTTGAAAGTAATTCTCCAATTGCATCCCAAAAAATGTATTTTATGCATTTTGCACTATTTCGCGATTGATCAACTTGAATTGCTATACACAGGTTACAATTCTATGAAATACAATTACTGTTTATTACTGAGAGGCGGGTTGGATGGCCGAATGGTGCTGTATCATAAGGCCTGTCATTGAGTCAAACTGGCGTGTTTTCGAATCCCAGGTTGTACGTGACAAGGAGTAGGGTCGCCTGTCCAACCTCGTGGGTTTTCTCCAGGTCTTTCGATTTCCTCCCACTGCTAAAGAACCCTACGCGCAAGCGAATTATTGAGGTAGAATTGGACCATATGTTGGTCTTGAAATGACCCAGTTTGTGTCGAGTGGATGTTAAACCCCATTCCTCTCTCTCAGTTTATTACTGAGAGAGAGAGAGAGAGAGAGAGAGAGAGAGATGGGGTTTAATTTGACATCCACTCAACAAAACTACATCATTTCAGAACTTTTATTTCAATAATTTGCTAGCACATACAGGTCTTTAGCAGTCGCCCGAAGTTGGAGGAAACCAAAAGACACTGAGAAAACCCATGAGGTTTGACAGGTGACCCTACTTCTTGTCACATGCAAGTGGAGAATAGAAACCACGACACTTGACAGGCCTTATGATCAAACAGCAAACAGGCGTAAACCATTCGACATCCCCGCCCCCCCCTCTTTATTCTTTATCAAGCAATGATAAGATATAAGCAATCTGATTAAAACCCAGATCCTATTTCGTTTCGTTTTTTATAGTTCAAAATTTCGTTTTACTTGTCTTTACTACATTAGGATCTGGAAAAGTTGTTATCATTGACGTGTTCTGCATGATGTGAGCTATTAGCCAATGGAACGGTCTGTTACGGCAAGCTTTAGGCGAGTTTTGCACGGAACTGTGGGTAATCCACTAGTAACATCAATGCTGATTGGTTAATCAAATGTCTGACATCATAGGGTCAAAAGCCGCCTGACAAAGGGTCAGATCTTCGTGTAGTGTAGGCCATCAAAAGTATATAAAAACGAAACGAAATATAGATCTGTATTTTAATCAGATTGAGATATGAGATATAATAGGACAATATATTCATGTAAGAAACAAAACGTTGAAATGTCTCTTAGTAAAAAGCAGTAATTGTATTCCATAGAATTGTGGCCTGTATATTCCAGTTCAATTACTAAATGCCATTGAAACAATTTACTATGAGAATGTATATTATTTACTTGTAGACGTCTGACACTATGTGGTTATTTACTTGTAGACATCTGGAGCCTAGTCGAAACGTCACTCAGTAATAAGCAGTAATTGTATTCGATAGAACTGTGGCCTGTATATTCCAGTTTAATTACTAATAGCCATTGACATAATTTTGAATTAGGATGTGACATCATTATATTTACATAACTACTAGTTTCTATTAACCAGGATAATACTTTACCTTGCATGGCCATCATTGAGCCATTTTGCATCATAAAATTACCACCTGCTTGTGGTAACCCAGGAGACGGAGCATAACCAGGAAAAACACCAAACTGAGGCTGTGCGAATCCTTGTTGAAAATTACTACCTATTATAACATTACATCCAAAAAATAGAGAAGGTGATCACAATAAACATGCACCATGCCGAAAAAAACACAGGAAAAAACAAAAACAAGGAGCACATCTAACTATAGCTATTATATACAACATTATTCATTCCATCACACAGACAAAAACTTTCTCAAATATATCAAAACTTGGACTCTATTCACTCGGTTTTACATCAGCTTAAATTTTATTTTATTAAAGATCCATTATGTAAGATTTAGATAAAGAGTTAGCCCTACTTGCTATAATAGTTTGAAAATAGATGATGTAAAAGTAATAATTTGAAAATTTCATTCTAATTACTCTATTGCGAGCGAAGATATTAGCCTTTAAAGGTTTGAAAAGATGTGTGCAATAATTTCAACCACCTTACTGGTTGTTCGAAGCTAAGTCTCGCTTCTCCATTTTTAGCTTAAATCAAAATATGGCTGAACTGTTATAATCTATTTAATATCGGAGAAATCCGATGCCATCGAGAGTTGATTATGGCCTGGATAAGTTAATTAATGTCTAATTAATAATTTAGAAAATATTTCAGGCCAAAAGAAAGACCTGCAATAGGCAGATTTAGCTCTTGCGTAATGTATGTTTATTTGTTAAAACTAAAATTTTAATAAGTTAATATTCCTGAATATCATTTAAGGAATTGAGAATTCCTTTGTAAACTACAATATTGTGAAAGTTGAATCTCTAATAGGTATATCAGTCAATAAATAGTTGAATTCAGCTCAGTATTTACAAAGTTATGACGAATTGAAAATGTGTTAACATTCAGCATCCACTGTAGACCATACATGTATATAGTCGACATAAGTCACTGTAGACCATATATAGTCAACACAAGCCACTGCAGACCTTATAGTCAACAAAAGCCACTGTGTAGACTATATATAGTCAACACAAGCCACTGCAGACCATATATAGTCAACACAAGCCACTGTAGACCATATATAGTCAACACAAGCCACTGTAGACCATATATAGTCAACACAAGCCACTGCAAACCATACATAGTCAACACAAGCCACTGCAGACCATATATAGTCAATACAAGCCACTGCAGACCATATATAGTTAACACAAGCCACTGTAGACCATATATAGTCAACACAAGCCGCGCAAACCATATATATATAGTCAACACAAGACACTGTAGACCGTATATAGTTAACACAGATCATATATAGTCAACACAAGCCACTGCAGACCATATATTATATATAGTCAATATAGTCAATACAAGCCACTGCCTAGACCATATATAGTCAACACAAGCCACTGCAGACCACGCCAGTTGACTCAATGACAGACATAAAGATACAACGCAAATGCGCTAACCATTAGGCCATCCAACCCCTTTAACTATTTTTGGATAGATAGATATTCAACTTCCCCAATATTTCAGTTTGCAAGGGATACCTCGATCCCTCAAGTGACATTAAATATCAGTCACAAAATATCAAAATTGAAAAGAGAGGGAATCTGATATAAAAATGTGATTCAAGCTGAAGTAAAAATAGTGAATATAACATCTGATGGACTAAATAATTTACATTCATTGCATCAAATTATTTCAAAATATTTGAGAAATTTAGTCTTCAGGCTTCAATATTACTCTTGGTTCTAAAGCTGACAGAAATGAAATGAAATGAAATGGGGTTTAACGTCCTACTGTTCTACTCCTAACCTGGGCTAATGAAGACGGGCATACGCTATACAGTGTGCTATGAGGAAAATTTGCCCGGGCAGCGGCGCTACGGCCTACTCTTATATCGAATTCCAACTGCTTAGGGATCTTTTACGTGCACACCAATGTGTACACGGGACCTCGTTTTTTCGTCCCATCCGAACGACTAGACAGCTGTCCTTGTCAGGCCCTCCATCCTGCATCACTGACAAGGGGAAACCACGCCGGAAAATCGGGATGAACTTTCTCGGCCAATGCAGGGATCGAACACCTGACCTCCAGTAAAGCTGACAGACTTTCGGCTTTATCAGATTGTGATGCAGAAGCAATTTACTTTAGAATGTTTTAGAATTAATCCTTTGGCCAAATCATATTTTAAAACTTTGATAAACCATCATAATTGCAGAACCAAGAATAATTTGAGATTTTTTTTAAATATTCACAATACCACAATGCTACATACATATAAAAATAAACCACTACATCAGGTTGTAAATATGTAAACAATTTACAAAATGCACAAAAAACGATACATTTTTTTTTTTAAATTAAAAATTTCATATTTCTGGTAACACAAGAGTTTCTACATAACTAATATCCAAACTGATGCCAATCTCCAAAATAAAAACAGAAATTTGTGACAAAATAAGACATCTAGAAGCAGATATAATAAGACTTGTAAATCAAGACTAACCTGGAGTATTTGGACGTCCAGACGATCCAGGTGACATATGTCCGATATCAGACCAGGGACTTTGAGATCTGTTAAATGAATCATTAAAGGCCTTGTCCGCTTCTTTTTGTTTGGCCACCTGCTCGGCTGCAATGACCTTGGCCCTTTCTTCGTACACTTCCTTTTCTTCACGTGTCAAACCTCTCCACTGTAATTCACATCGTAAACATTTACAAAGTATGATACGATGTTTGGGAAATATTCCCCTTTATCTTTTTTCTTGAGTTGTTTCCCTTACTGTTTTTCATTTTGATTGAAGCAGGGTTCTTAATTCATTTTGAAATAGTCGTCTTTTCAACAACAAACATGTTGGTTTATGCATACTCTATTCACGACATCCAACTAAACGGAAGTTATAAATTAGTACAAAGAAAAACTACAAGTACATACAAATGTTTTTTAAAGTCTGTATCACTACAGACCTCAGTCTGTACAGTGCAATGGATGCTTACAGCTAGCCCCGGGATCCATTCAGTTCGATCTGATGTATACATTTGTTGTTTGTGATGTCTGCAGTATATTGTGTCATGTCCGTAAGTTTGTCTTGTGGAATTGTTTGTGTGTGGTGTGATCCCACTGTACTTAATAATAACCTAATGAACTTTCTCAGCCAATGGAGGGATCAAACACGCGACCTCCAGGCTAGCGAGCCAGCATCATACCCAATTAGCCACAGTGGCTCCCGTCTCATCGGAACAACTGCATACATGTATCATATAGTGCCATGCGCTCTGCCCCCACGTCAGTGCCACAAGCCCTTCCCCTCATGACAAGCTTGAAATATGTGAAGTATGTTATCTTACAGGGTTTTTGTGGCTTTTATAGTCTTATAATATGACTATCAATAATCTTACCCTTGTTCCAACTAATCGACTGACGTCACCGAAGTTAGCTTCAGGATGTTCTTGTTGTATTATTTTACGTATTTCACCGGCATAAACAATATAACCACTTGGTTGACGTCGCACCGTAGACTTGGCCTAAAATAACATATAAAAATATATAAAATATAGATTCATCTAATTAAAACATGCTCATGGTCATTTAATTAATTTAAATGAAATAGGGGTTTAATTAATTTAAATGAAATAGGGGTTTAAATAATCTAAATGAAATAGGGGTTTAAATAATTCAAATGAAATAGGGGTTTAAATAATCTAAATGAAATAGGGGTTTAAATAATTCAAATGAAATAGGGGTTTAAATAATCTAAATGAAATAGGGGTTTAAATAATCTAAATGAAATAGGGGTTTAAATAATTCAAATGAAATAGGGGTTTAAATAATCTAAATGAAATAGGGGTTTAAATAATTCAAATGAAATAGGGGTTTAAATAAATCAAATGAAATAGGGCTTTAAATAAATCAAATGAAATAGTGGTTTAAATAATCTAAATGAAGTAGGGTTTTTTAAATAATTTAAATGAAATAGGGGTTTAAATAATCTAAATGGAATAGGGGTTTTTAAATAATTTAAATGAAATAGGGGTTTAAATAAATCAAATGAAATAGGGGTTTAAATTATTTAAATGAAATAGGGGTTTAGATAATCTAAATGAAATAGGGATTTAAATAATTCAAATGAAATAGGGGTTTAAATAAATCAAATGAAATAGGGGTTTAAATAATTTAAATGAAATAGGGGTGTAAATAATTTAAACGAAATAGGGGTTTAAATAATTCAAATGAAATAGGGGTTTAAATAATTTAAATGAAATAGGAGTTTAGTTTTTCTGCACCAACCCGGGAAATAAAGATGTTCATACATTGGGCACAGGACCTCGTTTTTTTGTCGCAGTAGAAAGACCTGGCCCCAGATTCACAATGCATTCTCAGACTTAAGTTAAAAATGTGCAAATATTTGTGTTTCTGGATCAAAGATATTTCTCATAAACAGTGATTGAAAGTTGAGTAAATTCTTAACTTAAGTTTGAGAGTGCTTTGTGAACTCGGAGCTAGCACCTTATACTCGCTATCACAAGATAAAATAAGAATATTGACCAGGTATATTGATGACCCACCTTTTTAGGTTTTTCTACAGGTGTCTGTGAATTCTCATCAATGGACATGTTGGTCGTTACAGACATAGTTTCTGTTTTAGCATCCTGGGAATCCTCCGCATCTTGGCTGATATTAAATGTATCTTCCGAAGCCTTTATTAACAATGGTGACGGTTCCTGAAATAACAGAGAAAAAAAGCAGATTATAAACCCACAGAACATTAATTTCCATAGTTATCTGGTAAATCTGTTTTATGGTCTTTATGTGTAGTTTTTAAAATGTTAACTACCCCCTATTGTGTAATTAATTTTGACGAAAAACGTCATTTATGGACCTTTGTATTCCTGAATACAAACTATAGTAGTCTGAAACCATATTAAAACGTAATATAAGGTCCTACACATGCTGCGATCGTATGTTCAAAGAATAGGTTGGGGAAAATACCTCCAGGGCGTTATATTACGTCCTACACACAGTGAATGGCAGTTGTCCAGGACGTTATATAACGCCCTACGCAGTTAACGGGTTAAAACAATGCAATAATTAATCAGATGATGTCGTTGATATCATTGTCTTTCTGAAATAAAATTGGGTTTAACGTCCTACTATTCTGCTCCTACTGGACTAATGAAGACAGGCATGTGCCATACAGTGTGCTATAAAGGAAATTTTGCCCAGGCAGCGACACTATGGACAACTCTTATATCGAATTCCAACTGCCAAGGGATCTTTTACATGCACACCAATGTATACACAGGTCCTCGGTTTTTCGTCCCATCCAAATGACTAGACAGCTTTCCTTGTTATGCCCTCTGCATTGTTACTCTGAATACTACTGGATGTGTTAATAGTTGTTACACGAGGTCATAAATTTTCTTATCAAGAGTTGTTTACAGCGCAGATGTCGTTTAATATGTGGCCATTTGTAGTTTTTCAGGTTCTAGCTATTACCTATAAATATGTGCATGGTAGTTATACACTCAGTACACTATATTAATTTTGCAATTTTGAATATTATTCACCATGTCGTGATGTCTGATTGGGCATATTCCTCGTCAGATAATTTAGGATGTTAGGAAAATATCGTCAGACATGCGGGCGAAACCCCATTACTGGTGCATGCCAATTGCCCCATCTGAACTGCCAAGGGGATTATTTTTATGAATTAATAAGAAATATACCTACTCACTGTTGGACTAAATTCTTCATTTAGTTTAAAACTTTTATTGATTTTACAGTCTTAACAACTATAAAAATGTTTTCTAACTGTGCAATGAACAAATAAGCTATTCAACAACAAGTTAAGTATTTTTTGTGAAATAAATTTTCAATAATATAAACAATAGCGTCTTATCACTTGAAAATAGTAAACTTTATATAAGATGATGATCACCAGCTCCAATTGGCACCTCTCATTTCACTTTCAATTGGATATATAATAATCCATCATTATTTACTACCTTTATATTGGATATATCAGGGCTCACCAAACCACGGCCAGTGTGTCGGGCAGTTAGTCCGGACCGCAGTTGCCAACTTTTTATGATTTACTATTTATGCGTTTCAACTATGGGCACAACTTGATATGATATAACTGTCTTATTACATCCTAAACTTTGTATAAATATTCTAACTTGGTGACATTTTTGGTACAATTAAAATATTTTATTGTTTTTATTATTTTGTTTATTTCATGTATTGATAAATAAATAGAATGAGTATCTTTATTTTTTGTGTAAATTCAGTGTATTCTGTATTCAGTATATTGAACAAAATATTTATCTGGCCCGCGCTCGGCATTCTTTCAGTTATATCTGGCCTACTATGAAAAAAGTTTGATGATCCCTGGGATATATAAGACATCATTATATACTGTCTTTCTATTGCATATATAACAAGCCACCAAGCCCATCATTATTTACTATTTTTCTATTGTGTGTTAGAACTTTTACAAAATAATCTCTCGAGGTCGGTCAATGCATCAAACAAGATTGATAAGGAAATGAAAACAGGTGCTTGGTAACGTAAACTTGAACATGAATAAACATAGTAATTAAATGTGGTATTCTGAACAGAAACATTTGGTGCATTTTATAATAAACTAAAACCTTGAACTGTTTAATTAATACAAACCTTTAATTCTGATAGAGGAACCTTTAATAATGGAGGAATAGACAAACAAGGTGAGATAACCTATCTACATCATTTACAATTGACTTTAAGGTCTCCCCTTCATCAGTTTTGAGTCGTTTGTGAGAGAGAAAGAGAAAGAGTTTAACGACACAAACTAGGTCATTTCAAGCCTAACACATGGATCAATTCTATTTCAAAAATTTGCTTGCATGTAGGGGGTAAACACAACAGTTCTATGGATAACAATTACTGTATTTCTATTAAACTTGCACCAAGGAGAAACTATGGCAGAACTACCAGAAAGATAAAGATTTCATTTCACAAGTGGAAAGAATACATAGCAATATGACAGGTTTATTCTATATTCTAAAAGACATGTTGTATTTCATTTAGATGATATGATATGATAATATCCTCACTTTCCGTGGCATGATATAACAACATTATCTCACCTTCTGTGGCATGATCTGTTTACGGAAGAAATAGATTTCATCATCTGTTACTTTCGGTGATAACGAATATCTCTGAAAAACAAGAGAGAGAGAGAAATGAGGTTTAACGTACACTCGACACAAACTAGGTCATTTCAGGACTAATGCTCTTATACGTAGGGGTCTTTAATTAGCAGTGGAAGAAAACCAGAGGACCTAGAGAAAACCCACGAAGTTGGACAGGCGACCCTACCCCTTGTCACGTACAACCGGGAAATCGAAACCACGCCAGTTGACTCAATGACACAATGTGCACACGCTAACCATTCAGCCATCCAACCCCCCTCATCTGAATAAGAAACTATCTGCACCATTCAACACATCAGTTACTAAGGCCGACTCAACACCATTTGGTGAATCTGATTGCAGTTCTGTCATTCTTCTATTAGCTTGTCATCATTTCAGACATTTAAGATAATGTGTCATTACAGGTTAGCCACTGTCCATGGCAGTGGAAACTCAATTTAATATCTATGTGTTTGTCTTCTTGTTATACATGCAGGTACTAATAGAATTATTGTTATCATAATACCTTTAAACCCTTGCCAAGTTTTTTAATTGATCTTTCACCTTCGAGATATTTTGATTCTGTTATATAGACATCATTCTCGGATACTTCTGTTATACGACCTGAAATAAGAGGGAGAGAAATAGGTTTTAATGTCCAGGTCATTTCGGGACTAACATATGGTTCAATAATATTTCAATAATTCGCTTGTGCACAGGGTTTTTTTTAGCAGTGGGAGGAAACCGGAGGACCCAGAGAAAACAAACATGGTTGGACAGGCGACCCAACACCTTGTCATGTACATCCGGGGAATCGAAACCACACCAGTTGACTCAATGACAGATCTTATGATCCAACGTGCATCCACTAACCACCTTTATATAAAACTATATACAACACACATTTTGACTGAACCATGGTCAAACAGCACATATTTGACTGAATCATGGGCAAACAGCATATTTTTGATTGAACAATGGTCAACAGCACACATTTTGACTGAACCATGGGCAAACAGCAGTACTAGGTCATTTTGGGACTAAAACATTGTTCAATTTTATTTTAATAATTCGCTTGCACATAGGGGTTTTTAGCAGTGAGAGGAAACCAGAGGACCCAGAGAAAACCCACGAGGTCGGACAGGCGACCAAACTCCTTGTCACATACAACTGGGGAATCGAAAACCTGACAGATAAAACTGTAGCATATGAGGAGAGAACAATACTCACTAGAACAATATTCTTTGATATGTAAGACGGAACATTTAGCGATGATACTCTGCATGGGGTTCGTATCGTCAATAGAACTGAGAAATACTTCTCGTTTATAGAACAGACGCGTTGGCGAATGTTGGATCTCTTCTGGCCGAACAAACCACGGACCACTGAAGTAATACATCCCCCTGAAAAATACACAATATAAAATTTAATGGTGGTCAATAAAGAGGGAGAGAGAGAGAGAAATGGATTTCAATGTCCACTCAACACAAATTAGGTCATTTAGTTCGACATTTATGGGGTGTTTTTCTTGTTAAAAACAGGTTCTTAATAGAATTCATATTACTGTAATAGATTATACCGATTCAAAATTAAACATTCTAATAGAATTACTGGACTTAAAGAGAGAGAGAGAATGGGGTTTAACGTCCACTTGACACAGACTAGGTCATTTCGGGACTAACATATGATTTAATTTTAATTCAATAATTCGCTTCCACGTAGGGGTCCTTAGCAGTGGTAGGAAACCGGAGGACCCGGAGAAAACCCACAAGTTTGAACAGGCAACCCTACTCCTTGTCACGTACAACCGGGGATTCGAAACCATGCCAGTTGACTCAATGACCGGCCTTATGATACAGCATGTGCACATGCTAAACAATCGGCCATCCAACCTCACTACTAGATTTAAATGAACACAAGTGAATAATAAAATAACTTACTCTGGACTACTAAATAATTTATCAATTCTTGCTATCATAGGTTTATCTTTACCACCATTAATATAAACAGAATCACCTGGAATATATAGATATATAAAAAATCATAGGTAATAATCAGGTAGAATCACTTGGAATATATATATATATATAACAATCATAGGTAATAATCAGGTAGAATCACCTGAAATATATATAATACAATAACCATAGGTTTTAGTCCAGTTGGGAGGAGCAGGAGGGGGTGGGGGAGGGGAGACTTTCACTCAAAACAAAATAGACAGGAAACTGGAAAAGCGGGTGGGGAAACTGACAAAAGGATTGTCTCAAACAATCACAGGAGAGAGAGAAAGATATGGGTTTTAATGTCCACTCGACACAAACCAGGTCATTTTGGAAAAAACTGATGGTTCAATTTTAATTCAATAATTTGTTTGTTCGTGGGGGTATTTAGCAGTGGGAGGAAATTGGACAACCCGAGAAAACCTACAAAGTTGGACAGGCAACCTTACACCTTGTCACATACAAAAACAATCAGAGAATCAAAACCCACGGATGAATTGTTGACAGAACATCACTTCTATTTAGGACATAAACACTTCCAGTTTTGAATTTGATGCAGTAGACATGGTCTGGGTTGATTAGGAACCCAGTACAACATTTGATTATCATAGACAACTAACCTATTTTATAACAAGCTCTGTTATATATTGTTCTATAACTCACAGTGTATTATATAACTAACCTAATTTATAACAAGCTCCACTGTCTGTTATGTATTGTTCATAATATGTATTACCATCCTCCACAACAACTTCAGCAAACACAATCTAAAAAACATAACCATTTCTATTAAAGATTGTCACAGGGCAAAACTACACTTTTAGTACCCTCATGGCTCACACAAAAAAAAGCTATTAAGGGGCATTATTGGAGATTAGATAAAGAGCTGGCAGTTCTCACTATCATAGTTAAAAACTAGATAATGTAAAGGGAATATGCTGAAAATTTCAGTCAAATTGATCCACTCTGTACAGAGATATAAGCTATTGAATTTTAGGCCTAGCCTCGATCATCATTACTAAAGTCGGTACAATAAAAAACATAAGTCTCGATTATCCATTTTTGGATTAAATCATCAATGAGCGTTGGGCAGTGGAACGGATTCAAATCCAATAAATATCACAGGCTAGCCATGACATCAAGAGTTTATTATGGTCTGGATAAGTTAAACATACATTATGCAAGAGCTAAATCTGCCTATTGCAGGTGTTTCTTTAGGCCTGAAATGTTATCTTAATTATTAATTAGACATTAATTAACTTATCCAGACCATAATCAACTCTCGATGGCATCGCTAGTATGAAATGTTTATTGGATAAGGTTCTGATTTACTATTCGACTTCCATTCATGATTTAATCATGAAATGGATAATCAAGACTATGTTTTTTATCGTACCGACTTTAGTAATGATGATCAGTAAAATCTTGGTTCATAGTGGATCAATTTGACTGAAATGTTCAGCAAGTTCCCTTTACATTATCTAGTTTTTAACTATTATAGTGAGAACTGCCATTATGTATTTTAATTAATGTTTCATTAAAACACTGATAAATGTGAAGGAAAGTGGAGAAAACTATAAAACCTATCAGGTATTAGAGGCTAGAACTCCTTCACACATGCGGCTGGGGGAAACAGCCCCATCTTGCCTCTGATGTTAGTTTTTCTATGGAAGAAATGAACAGTACATCTTACCTCTCTCTTTTTATCCAATACGCTAGTTTCTCCGTCATCGAAATCTTTACCCTCGCTACCTGCTTTATCAGCAAAAACTGATTCCACACGAACTGGTGTCAATGGTTCATCACGGGGAACTATCTTCATATGTTCATTCTTGGGTACAGACCAATTCTACAATACATAATATATTTCATTTTTATTAATATCATTATTATTAATATTTATAACGCAATAATCCACAAAACATGTTGAGATGCAAATGAAATTGAAATGAAATAGGGTTTAATGTGTGCTATGAGAGAAATTTTGCCCGGACAGCGGCACTACGGCCTAGTCTTATATCGAATATAGACAGCTGTCTAGTTATTCGGATGGGACAAAAAATTGAGGTCCAGTGTATACAATGGCGTAAAAGATCCCTTGGCAGTTAGAATTCGATATAAGAGTAGGCCATAGTGCTGCTGCCTGGGAAGAAATTGCCTCATAGCACACTGAATGGCTTATGCTCGTCTTCATAAGCCCAGTCAGAGAAGAACAGTAAGAGGTTAAACCCCATTTCATTTCATATTTTCACTATCTTATCTCCAAGATGAAACCAATCATTATTTATCCTAACAACTTGTATTATTACACAATAATATCTGTTTAATATTTAATATCTGTTTATTGGGGACTGACCTTTATTTTTTTAAAAGCCCGATGTCTGTTACTGTATCGAGATTCACAAACATAAACATCTTTATCTGTCATAACCTGAAATAAAATAAAACATAGGGAATTATTTTTTCTTGTATTTTAAAATATCAAATTTTTAAGAGAGAGAAGCAGAAACAGGGTTCAACATCCACTTGACATAAACCAGGTCATTTCGGGACTAACACGTGGTTCAATTTTATTTCAATAATTCGCTATGGACAGATAGAAATAATGAAAACTTACCATGGGTTTAAACTTGAAATAATCTTTAACAAACATAACGTGACATTTACCCCAGATCTGGCTCATGGCTATCGTTGTAACGATGTCACTCTTAAATACTTCCTATAAAATAAAATAATATCATAGTCAAAATAATACTTATAAATACTTCCTAAAAAAAAAAACCCAAGAAATAGTTGATTTGAGTGTCTAATCAAATTAACTATAATAGTATACCAAACTGAAAGGGATGACGTCAATGTGAATTAAGTGGAGGCACTGTTTGACTTTATGCATTTTAAAATTAATCATTTCTAATAGTGATATTAACATTTAATTTAATGTTAAGCAACAGTTTTGTGGGAATTTACTTTCTCAGCTAACACAGGGAGCGAACCAGTGACTTACAGGCTCCATTGTAACGTTGATATCGTTGACAATGCAACAAATAACTGTTATAAATGAAAATATACGACACTAATAGATCGAAGTCATCAGTTTATATACATAATGTGTATTAGTTTGTTAAAATTGTTATTAATCAGGCAGTAGTCATTAAGTAGGTGTTTTGTCACTAAGGTGTTAAAACTGAGTATTGAATGATATACACCACTATTGGTTAGGTTTGTGTATTCAATAGTGATGGGTGTTATAAATAGTCACATTTTTTTACAGCTAGTTACAGACCTGCTAATTAATGACAACTGTATAATTTCTAACCACTTTTATACATACTATACATTTGTTTAGAATATTGACCACTTATATGATTTAATGACAAAAATTGTCATTACTAAAAGGCCTAGCTTCATTAATCAACAGTATCAGCTTACACGTGCTAGCGAGCCAACGTCTTAATTACAGACTAGCGAACCAGTGATTTAGAGGCTAGCGAACCAGTGTCTTACAGGCTAGCAAGCCAGTGACTTACAGGCTACCAAAGCGAGAGAGTGACTTACAGACTAGCAGACCAGGGGGCTGTTTCACGAAATTCTAACTAAGATAAAATCCAAATTTTAGTAATTTGATTGGATAATATTAGATTGATTTTAGTGCTAAGCCAATCAAAATTGAAGTATCTACTAAAATTTGGATTTTATCTTCTGTCAAGATTTTGAGAAACAGGGCCCCGTGACTTACAGGTTATCGAGCCAGTGACTTATAGGCTAGCGAGTTAATGACTTAAAAACCTAGTGAGCCAGTGTCATACTCACTGAGTCACTGCAGCTTCCCTGACACATGAGAGTAGAGTTGATGAATATGAGAGTAAGTATTATTTTAAGGTACAAACCTTTTCTAGGAATTTCCGAGTCTGTAGATGATATGTTTCACCAGGTCTATAAAACCAGTTACCTTGTATCATCTGTATGTTATTACCATCTTTAACAAACTTCTCTATACACAGAATATGTGGTTCTAATCCATGTTCTCTATAACATACAATATAATATATACAATATACACATGCTCTCTATAACATACAATATAATATATACAATATTCAGGCCCTTAATATCACTGTAAAACTGGAATTGTTTAATTAGGGGTTTTTAGCGCTAGAAGTATACATACGCATGGTTTACTTTTAAAATATCGTTTGATAATTGATAAAAATCTTTTGAGAACTATAAAAATGGTTTAGTTAGTAAAATGGCTTAGTTTAATGGTGACAGTTTAGTTTACCATTTAATTTCTCGTGTTATCATTTATAAATGGATGACCCTTCACTTATCTACCACGTTCATTAGACGAGCAGTTTAATTTTCTGAGATGCATGTATAAATCAACATGAAATGGGCAATTACATGTATGCATGATCTTTTATAAGTATGTATGTACAAAAGTTTTCACGTTATCGTAATCTGTTAGTGAATCATCTAGCTATGACTAGTGTTGGAAAGGCCGGATGGAGGGGGCAAAAAAAAGTCTCGCCCAAGCACATTTTTTTCTTGTCACAGGCTCGGTTTGGTACGGTCTTAGGAGCACTGGTTTTGGATGGTCCAAAAAGGATTATAAAATATTGCAAATCAGTTAATTTAAAAACTATTTACTATCACAGACACGAAATGAACCTCATCTTATAATCCAGAAAAATTGTAACACTTTGGTCCTTGAGACAATTTTGGTTCATTGCAAAACTGTTACTTTACTCTGTCTATAGAGTTAAATCACACATACTTAATGAACGTGATACATAAGGCTGACCTTAAAAATATCTTTGTTTCACCAAACCCGACCCACAATCGAGGAGAAGGGTCGGTAGGTCGGTTTTTTTTTCAGATTTTTTTTTAAAGTCAGAGAAATCAATACAGAAAACTTATTAGCTGTATACTACAGATTCATTAATTTTGTTTAATGAATTTGGGGTCTGACGTAAAAAGTACGGGTGGAAACATTCGTCTTCTTTATTGGCAAACAAATCAATGACATCGGGATTTTTCGTGATGCCCGACTCGCACACGATTAGCCACGAACTTGAAGTGTGAAACTCCTTCAACACGTTTTTAACGATAGTGCGCGTTGTGCTTTCATTTTTCTCGAAAACGGATATTGAAAATATCGTCGTCATGTTTAAAACTACGCACCACAGACATAGAGGCAGAATTATTTCGTGGGAATGGACGTGTATTCGTCTGCAACCATTTTGTTGAGAAGCGACACCTATGACGCTTTCGTCTTGATCAACCAGTTTCAATAATGAATCAAACCATAGCCATAGTATAGGGAAATAACTCTCATGATATATTTCAGGTTGACACACAAAATAAAATAAAAAGATCGTGGAAAAGTGCAATAAAATAATTTAAGTCGGGGGTGGTTTTAGTTAGTCGGTCGCGTTAGGCGAAACAAAGATATTTTTAAGGTCAGCCTAAAAAACACTGATATTTTGGTTAAATGTTAATCATTGTCAAAATATCCATCAAATTCTGGCTGTTTATTGACCCCATGGTTGGTAGACCAAAATAGGTAATGTCTCCTATCTCTTTGGTGGGAAATAAAGAGTTTTATTCCTTATATAGGATGGAAATTAACGTCAAGGTTATCTTAGACCTGCAGAAATTAGGGGGTATAAATTAGGGTGTACAAGCGAGTTTGATCAGAGCTCACCCAGAAATTCCTAGCAGCCATTAACATTGAGAACGAGGAACCTACAAAGCCATTACAACTTAGAAATAAAGTGGTGAAACTATTTTATGCGGCAGTCTTGTTTAGATCACCAGAAAGTAAACACAACAAGAAGAAGTCCTATAGTACTACAAAATATCATACCTCGGTTCAACGTAGACGAAATCCCCCAGATAATAAACAGTATCTTTAAACTTGACACCTTCTTCATTTACTTCATCTGATGGTTCAAGCTGAAAACAAAATATTTCATATAATCAGTTTTTATCTCGAGAGAATCACTCTGATTAAAACACAGATCCTATTTCGTTTTGTTTTTTATAGTTCAAAATTTCGTTTTACTTGTCTTTACTACACTAGGATCTGGAACAATTGTTATATTACCGGCTTTTTCGTTGAAGTGAGGGAAAAGCCAATGAAACAGTCTGTTACAGCGAGTTCTTGGCATGCCATGCACAGAGAGATATTGGGTTTAACATCCACTCGACACAAACTAGGTCATTTTGGAACTAACATATGGTCCAATTTACTTCAATACTTCGCTTACATGTAGGGGTATGTAGGTATTTAGCAGTGGAAGGAAACTGGAGAACCCAGAGAAAACCCATGAGGTTTGACAAGCGACCCTACTTCTTGTCACGTACAACCGGGGAATCTCCCCCCCTCCCCCACACACACACACTTTAAGTTGGGACTAGACATATTTTCTCCACCAGATTATTAGAAGTGTTTTTACCTTTTGTGTATCATCCTCCTTTTCTTCGCTATCTTGTAATCTCTTCTTCTCTTCATCTTCTTTCTGCTCTAGCGGGATTTTAATCTTTTTCTCCGCTTCCAGTTGTAACTGTAGATGGCGCTCCATAAAGCTTAAAGCTGGTGTCAGTAACATTTCTCCGTTTTTACACAGTTCATCTCGTATCTTGATGAATATCATCTGCATCTCGACAGCATCTTCATATAACTAAAATAAAATATGATCCTGTTTAGATCTTCACATAAGACAGAAGATTTCATCAATCGTGTGTAATCAGTCAACCTCCATGACTACAACAGCTATCACTGTCACCCGGGTATCATTTAATCTTGCCCCAAGTCACAAAGTGAGAGAGAGAAAGAGAGAAATGGGGTTTAACGTCCACTCGACACAAACTAAGTCATTTCAGGACTAACATATGGTTTAATTTTATTTCAATAATTCGCTTGCGCGTAGAGGTCTTTAGCAGTGGGAGGTAACCAGAGGACCCGGAGAAAACCCACGAGGTTGGACAGGCGACCCTACTCCTTGTCACATACAACCGGGGATTCGAAGCCACGCCAGTTGACTCAATGACAGGCCTTATGATACAGCGCGCACGTGCTAACCATTCGGCCATCCAACCCCCCAGTTCACAAAGCGTTCTCAGATTTAATTAAGAATTGACTTAAAATTAATGGCCTTATTTTAACTAAACTATAGCCCTTTATAAAACATTTGTTGTTTTAATGTATCAAATACATCAATAAGAAACTAGGTGCAATGTTTTGTGTTTCTGGATCAAAGATATTTCTCATAAACACTGGTTGAAAGTTGAGTAAATTCTTAACTTAAGTCTGAAAATGTTTTGTGAACTCAGGGTCTTGTGTATTGAGCATTAATTTCTTTCACATTCATTCAACATCAAATCTTTGTTTAAAAATTTGTAAAAGTTGTTTAAAATCACCCCAAATCATCCAATTTGTACTTGTGTCCAGTTTAAAGCTGACCATTTAATTTTGATAATGAGTGTCCAATTGTCAAATAGTGGGGCTCAAAACCATGCCACTTGACTCAATGATAGACATTATGACTGCACGCACACACAATAAACAACTACAATACCCCCCCCCCCCCCTTGATTAAACAGACAAAAGTCAGAAATATCAGCCAGATAATTACTTATTTATAGCGATTATTTCTTTTTGGCCTACCCGCCTCTCCAATTTTTTGCATGACAATTGTTTAGGTCTAGATTCGTAGAAGAGAGTTTTAATTTAATGTATATTTTCTGTCAGGTTTTGGTGAATATTCAGGATTATGCCCTGGAAGTAAAGAGATATGTATCGCTCAAATGATGTCACTGCCTGTAGATTCCTTTCGACCAGGCCTAACACAGAATTTGAAACCTTGAAGTCAATGGGAAGGAATTAGTAGTCTGACTCCATAGTTATCTCCATTGCCTTATCTCAAATTAAAAATATAAATATGTGATTCTGATATCACCACCGCTCACTGAGTGGAAATATATGTATACATATTTCTTAACAAGAACGGGATCAAATAAACTTAATAAAAACCAAAAAACTCAACGTATTTCTTTAAACTAAACAAATTAAACAAACAACATTAAAACATGAAAAATACGAAGAAATAAAATCTACACTGTAACCCGAGTACCATTTAATCTTGTGTATTTAGCACTAATTTCTTTCACATTTGTTTGATATCAAATCTTTGTTTAAAAATTCGTAAAAATCTTTTAAAATCACCCCAAACCATCTAATTTGTACTCGTGTCCAGTTTAAAGCTGACTGATTTATTTTGATAATGAGTGTCCAATTTAAAAGTATTTAATTTCCTGATCAATGTTCAAAAATTAACCATTTTCATACATCAATAATTAATTGGGTTGTTTATATTTTAACAGTGATCGAGAAATTAAACGCTTGTAAATTGGACACTAATTATCAATATTGGAAGGTCAGCTTTAAACTGGAAACAAGTACAAATTAGATGATTTTTGGAGATTTTAAACAATTTTTACGAATTTTTAAACAAAGATTTGATATTAAACAAATGTGAAAGAAATTAGTGCTAGATACACAAGATTAAATGGTACTTGGGTTACAGTGATCTCAACATCTGCTTGATGATAAAAATGAACAAGGAAAAAAAGAAACTGTAAAAAAAATAAAATTAACATTAAATGTTTCGTCAATTATGATGAACCTACAACTTACTTGTTTTCTATCAATGATCCCCTGTAAATATAAAATAGACTCTATCTCCCAGTCACTTAAAGTCGTTTATTGTCATTTGAATGACTTCAAATCCAGTGCAGAAGTCAATTTATATAAACTACTGCCAAGCCTGGAAATAAGGCACCTGTCACAGACAATGTCAGTCACAGATTGAGGCTTTGTCAGGCACTAAACCTCTGGTGCCTGTCAATTTTGTACGGCACTGATATGTCTTTTTTATTGATATTATTAATACATGTCCAGCATTAAGTCGAAAATGTCAGGTACTATTTCATTAGTGCATCAGGTACCTCTAAAATCATTATTTCCAGGCCTGACTACTGCCTTGTTTCGGCATGCAGTAAATTAAATATTGATTAAAAATAGGGCTGGGTAAAATATCGATATAAATCGATAGTATCGATTGGACGGCCCAGAAAAGCACTATCGATAGTGGTGGGTTACTATCGATTATCGCTCTTCGTCTATTTTTCTTGCGTCTAAAATGTCAATGTTTTCTTTCAATTAATCATAATACACCGCTCACTTTAATTACTATCAAGTATCAATGTAACACATAACAAAATTGTGACTGCTTATTGAACAGCCGTTTTCATAAATTCACTCTCATTGAAACGTTACTTTAGTTTTGAAGAAATTATTGTTGAATATCGCTAAATCGGAGATACCCGGATGTGTAAATAAAGTTAGAGTTATTTCCCTTTGCAAGCTTCAGAATTCGTCTGCCATATTGATATTTTCGCGTGCACGTACGCAATGTTTTGAATCGGAACAAGTTCATTTTGGTCCCTTAACATAATTATTTACGATATTTCTTCATTCGGAACCACGGCTGCATTATTTTAATAATAAACAACATCAATTTACGTATATATACGTGATATAACAAGTTTTATTAATGTTTTCCAAATAAATCTCCTTAGACAGGAGCAAACGATCTTTCGCAACTTCGTATGGTTTTGAACTTACACTGTATCCAGTCTTGATGACGACCATGAAAATAAGTTTGTTTTCGATACTATCGATTATCGACCGACAATTCATTGCCGATTATCGATAGTAAAAATCACTATCGATACCCAGCCCTAATTAAAAATACATTATACAAAAGCTAAATCTGCCTATTGCACAGTAGGTCTTTCTTTAGGCATGAAATGTTATCTAAATTATTAATTAGACATTAATTAACTTATCAAGACCATAATCATTAGCTTGCGATCTTTAGCGGATTGGAATACATTTTTTCAAAAAATAATTAAACGTAAAAATGGATAATCAAGACTTTGTTTTATATCGTACCGACTTTAGTATAATGATGATCGAGGCTAGCCTAAAATTCAAAAGCTAATATCTCGGTTCAGAGTGGAGCAATTTGACTGAAATTTTCAGCATATTCTATTTACGTTATCTATTTTTGTAAACTATTGTAGCGTGAACTGTCAACACTGTATCTAATCTCCCATAATGCCTGTTTAAATGTATATTGAATCTCTAAATTTTAAATCTCTAAAAGGACTATCGATCCAATTCTGTCCAGTGTTTACAAAGCTATGATAAATTGAAAATTTCAAAAAATTCAGCAAAAATATTTAGGTGGTTGTTTTGTTTAATCTGATTGAATCCAAGAATATCTACCATTGATATTGTAATTTTGTTTTCTTAATTAAAAGTTTTAAAATAATTAATCTGAGTATATTCTAGAGTGGCTCAAGCCGCGAAAAATAGGATAATGTCTGATAAATGCTAGGTTGGGATCCGTGATCTTAAACGCCATTATCGTTAATCATAGGATTGATCATATCAACCCTTTTTTTTTTATGTTGAAGTCATTGTGAAATTATTCTTATAGGCAAGAAAAGCTTTGATGACATTTGAAACAGGTAGTTCCGAATGATTGAAATTTTGTAGAGAAGAAATATCCCACCTGTGAATCTGTACGGCTCAGTTTTCTTGCTCGATCAAAAACTTTAAACATATCTTCTTGAAATCTATCAACCCTTTTATACCGACCCTAAAATAAAACAAATTATCATTAACAACTCTTATCAAAATATATAAAACAAATATCATTAACAACTCTTATCATTAACAAATATCATTAACAAATATCATTTAAATTTTTTTTAATAATTCTTAGTTATGCTTTTCTGGTTACATGTGTAATGCTAGAAGGAGAATTTAGCCCAGACAACAGTGTTTACATGTGTAATGTTAGAAGAATTTCGCCCAGACAGCAGTGTATGTGCCTACTCATCATCCAATTGTTAAAATGAAATGGTGTTTAACGTCCTACTTTTCTGCACCAACCAGGCTAATAAAGACGGAAATTGTAAAAACGCTAAACTCTGTTGTGTAAGCACGCTTTGAAGAAATGAAATGAAATGGAGTTTAATGTCCTACTGTTCTGCTCCTAACCTGGGCTAATGAAGACGGGCATACGCCATACAGTGTGCTATGAGGGAAATTTTGCCCGGACAGCGGCACTACGGCCTACTCTTATATCGAATTCCAACTGCCAAGGGATCTTTTATGTGCACGCCAATGTGTACACGGGACCTCGGTTTTTCGTCACATCCGAACGACTAGACAGCTTTCCTTGTCAGCCCCTCCGTCCAGTACTTTAAGTGAAGGATGTGTGCTTTATAAATGTTGTATAACAAAAATAACTCACCCTGTCTAAATTCCCTTTGATTTGGTGAAACGTTAATGGTCTCCTACAAAAACAAAATTCATAGACATTGTTTGTAAATATATAAATGAAATGAAATGGGGTTTAACATCCTACTGTTTTGCTCCGAACTGGGCTAATGAAGACGGGCATACGCCATACAGTGTGCTATGAGGGTAATTTTGCCCGGACAGCGGCACTACGGCCTACTCTTATATCGAATTCCAACTGTCAAGGGATCTTTTACGTGCACGCCAATGTGTACACGGGACCTCAGTTTTTCGTCTCATCCGAATGACTAGAAAGCTGTCCTTGTCAGGCCCTCCGTCCTGCATCACTGACAAGGGGGAACCACGCTGTAAATATATAATATATATATATAAAGGGCTTTCATTATCAAATTGCAAAAGACAAGGATATTCTATAGAACAATTAAAACAAGCCAACAGTGAGGCTGATGTCCCCCGCCGAAATAGGAAAATAATTAGAGGACACATATAAATTTATCACAAATTATCTTTTACAAAGTATTGAACAATCAAACAGTATATCTTTACTTATAGTCTAACAATCAAATTGCGTATCGCTCTGCTTACCCTGAGCAGAAAATGCTCATTATCAAACTTAGTCAAGGTATTACTGTAATGAAACTATACACCAAGTTTCATCAATCTCACTTAATTAGAACCAAAGTTATCGTGTCCCAAAGCATCAACCAATCAAATTCCTTATCTCTGCTTACCCTAAGCGGAAAATGCTCATCTTCGAACTCCATCAAGGCATTGACCTCATCAACACATACACCAAGTTTGAACATTCTAGCTCAATTAGGAAGAGAGTTATCGTGCCCCAAAGTATCAACCAATCAAATTGCTGCTTACCCTGAGCAGAAAATGCTCATTATCAAACTTAGTCAAGGTATTACTGTAATGAAACTATACACCAAGTTTCATCAATCTCACTTAATTAGAACTAAAGTTATCGTGTCCCAAAGCATCAACCAATCAAATTGCTTATCTCTGCTTACCCTAAGCGGAAAATGCTCATCTTCGAACTCCATCAAGGCATTGACCTAATCAACACATACACCAAGTTTGAACATTCTAGCTCAATTAGGAAGAGAGTTATCGTGCCCCAAAGTATCAACCAATCAAATTGCTTATCTCTGCTTACCCTAAGCGGAAAATGCTCATCTTCGAACTCCATCAAGGCATTGACCTAATAAACACATACACCAAGTTTGAACATTCTAGCTCAATTAAAAGTTATCGTGTCCCAAAGCATCAACCAATCAAATTGCTTATCTCTGCTTACCCTAAGCGGAAAATGCTCATCTTCGAACTCCATCAAGGCATTGACCTAATCAACACATACACCAAGTTTGAACATTCTAGCCCAATTAGAAAGAGAGTTATCGTGTCCCAAAGCATCAACCAATCAAATTGCTTATCTCTGCTTACCCTAAGCGGAAAATGCTCATCTTCGAACTCCATCAAGGCATTGACCTAATAAACACATACACCAAGTTTGAACATTCTAGCTCAATTAGGAAGAGAGTTATTGTGTCCCAAAAAGTGTGACGGACAGACAGACGGACAGACGGACGGACGGACGGACGGACAGACGGACAGACAGACGGACAGACAGACGGACGAACCCATTTTAATAGTCCCCTGCTTTCTTCGAAAGGCGGGGGACAATAAATTAAATGTATATTACATGTATAAGTTTCATTAAACATACATTAGGTAAGATTAGTTTAAGAGCTGGCAGTTCTCACTATAATAGTTAAAAACTAGATACTCTAAAGGGAATTTGCTGAAAATTTCAGTCAAATTGATCCACTCTGTACCGAGATATAAGCTTTTGAATTTTAGGCCTAGCCTTGATCATCATTACTAAAGTCGGTAGAATGAAAAACATAGTCTCGATTATCCATTTCTTGATTAAATCATGAATGGAAGTCGAACAGCAAATCAGAACCTAATCCAACAAAAATCGCAGGCTAGCGATGCCATCTAGAGTTGATTATGGTCTGCATAAGTTAATTAATGTCTAATTAATAATTTAGAAAACATTTCAGGCCTAAAAAAAGACCTACAATAGGCAGATTTAGCTCTTGCATAATGTATGTTTAAAAGAATTGTTTCATTCTGAACTATTCACTGATATTGATATTCTCAATAATGCATGTTTAATTAAGTTGATTTCGTTAAATGTTGCGATATTTTCTGTTTTTAGAAAAAGATACAGTTTATTTTCAAATCCACTTACTCTTCCGATTTATCTTCATCTACACGATCTAGTAATTCTGCAAAACTATCGCTATAGCAACGACCTTCTTCATCCTAAATAAATAACAAATAAATATAGTGAATTAGTAAAGGTATATAGCAAATAAAATGAAATTGGAGAGAGAGAGAGAGAGAGAGAGAGAGAGAGATATGGGGTTTAACGTCCACTCAACACAAACTAGGTCATTTTGGGACTAACACATGGTTCAATTTTATTTCAATAATTCGGTTGTGCTTAGGGGTCTTTTAGCAGTGGGAGGAAACCGGAGTACCCTACTCCTTTTCAGGTACAACCAGGGATTCGAAACCACGCCAGTTGACGCAATGACAGACCTTATGATACAGCACACCCATGCTAACCATTCGGCCATTCAACCCCACAAATAAATTGGATTTAAAATCTTACTCTCTTACTTTTCGGGACAAACCACGAAATGGGGTTTAACGTCCACTCGACACAAAGTAGGTCATTTCGGGACTATCATATGGTTTAATTTTATTTCAATAATTCGCGCGCGTGTAGGGGTCTTTAGCAGTGTGAGGAAACCGGAGGACACGGAGAAAACCCACAAGGTTAGACAGGCGATCCTACTCCTTGTCACGTGCAACCGGGGATTCGAAACCACGCCAGTTGACTCAATGATACAGGCTTTATGATACAGCGCGCACGTGCTAACCATTCAGCCATCCAACCCCCCACGTTACTAAAGCGCACAAGCCATGCAGTGTGCTGTGAGGGAGCTACGGTGGGATATTTCACTCAATCTTAGAGGTAATCAACAATAAATTTTTCTACAGCTGTACGTCCGATGTTAGCCCAAGGTGTTCCTGCCACTATCCCGGTGTTCAGATCTCAATTAGACAGACAGACGGTCAGACAAACATGCGTCTGAGACAGGCGGGCAACACACAAAATGAAATCAATTTGACATTCAATTACAGATTGACTCAACACCGTAGAGAAAAAAAAAAAAACAGACTTGAAAGGTTCTAGACCTGAGATGGGATTTCACCTGTATATTCCGGACATGTCCGACGCTATTTTCCAAACGTCATAAATTGTCCGACCAGGAATCTGCCGAATCGGACATCAAGACATGGTGAATAATATTCAAAATTCCAAAATGAATATAGTGTATTATCGTTGATAATAGGCTGGATTGATTAGGTAATTAAGTGATCAACGTATTTATTGTGTTATACTGTCTATAATCTAGAGAAAACTATCATGTTTTAAACTACACGGAGAGAAATAAATAAAAGATGAATGAATGAAAGCTAACCTGTGAGTTATAAACAGATATAAATAGATTGGTCATTATTTCTTGTATAACAGCTTTAACATCAGGTACATCATCACCACATTCAGCTGTTAATTCTAATTTCTTCTCTAGACATATACGCTGTAACGTCAACGCATCCTGTAATAAATAAAATATACACCCGTTTTATCTTATCACATTGTTTATGTGCCGTATACCACAGTATACTCGCACCAGTCGATGCATCGATAAATCTGGCCGTCTCTGAAACCCAATATTTGAACGATAATCCTTTGACTTTAATCTCTGATATAAATTCTATAAATGTGTCATTCTGAACTAACATTAATATTAATGCCTACCTTTGTTATGTATTCGATAATATTTATCAACTTTAGTGCAGAAAAACCATGAATTATTTTTATTTTTATCAAAAAAGCATGTCAGTAAGAAATGACCGTGACAAAACTCAGCTTTGACGGTACTTTTAGTTTATTCAATCAGTATCAAATAATGTTTTGTTACATTTGAAAACAATAATCAAGCTTTTGTCACATAATAAAACAGAAGATTAACAAACAGATAACGCCTGTTTTATTGTTATTTTCACTGATCTGTTTACTTAATCTGCAGTGAGCCAGATAATTAATTGTTAATTCAGCGATACGACAGCATGGTGGATATCAAAAATGGCTGATAAATAGGCAATTTATAAAAAAAATTGTGATCGCTGGCCGCGTTACAGGAGTGACTGTTTATTAAAATGAAATGAAATGAAATGGAGTTTAACGTCCTACTGTTCTGCTCCTAACCTGGGCTAATGAAGACGGGCATAAGCCATACAGTGTGCTATGAGGGAAATTTTGCCCGGACAGCGGCACTACGGCCTACTCTTATATCGAATTCCAACTGTCAAGGGATCTTTAACGTGCACGCCAATGTGTACACGGGACCTCAGTTTTTCGTCCCATCCGAACGACTAGACAGCTTTCCTTGTCAGCCCCTCCGTCCTGCATCACTGACAAGGGAGAACCACGCCGGTAAATCTGGATGAACTTTCTCGGCCAATGCAGGGATCAAACACCCGACCTCCAGGCTAGCGAGCTAGCGTCTTACCCACTTAGCCACGTGATCCCCCTGTTTATTAAAGTGACCACTTAAAAGGAGATGTCGCTGAAAAGGAGTGGCTGCTCATACAGATTCTACTGTATATGTAACATATACATACTATACATACCTTGTATATGAGTGAATCAGGTTCATTATATTTACACGCATTATCGAACATCTGAACGTAATCGGCCACCATATCTTCTAGTGAATAATAACTGTGAGTTATCAGTTTCTGCTGGATTCGTTGTAAATCTATTGGCTTCTTGATAACCTCGTAATAATCAGGATAATCCTATAATAATATACACAAACATATATAAACAGTGCCCTGCATACAACAAACGGACCTCGTAATATACACAAACATATACAACAACAGGTGCCCTCCATACAACACACTGACCTCGTAATATACACAAGGCAGAGTATGTCAACCGTGTAATACATAGATATTACAACTTTGTAATATACACATACACATTACAACCTGGTAATACATACATTTGTACATATTACAACCTGGTAATACACACATACATATTACAACTTCGCAATACACACATACATGTATTACAACTTTGTAATACATACACATCCATATTACAACCTCGTAATATACACATCCATATTACAACCTCCTAATATACACATAAATATTACAACTTTGTAATACACACATCCATATTACAACCTCGTAATATACACATCCATATCACAACCTCGTAATATACACATAAATATTACAACCGCGTAATACAAACATGTACATACATGTATATATTACAACCTCGTAATCCACCCATACATATTACAACTTTGTAATATACACACATATTACAACCTCATAATATACACATACATATTACAACTTTGTAATCCACACATATACATACATATTACAACCTCGTAATACACCCATACATATTACAACCTCGTAATCCACACATAAATATTACAGCCGCGTAATCCACACATACATATTACAACCTCGTAATCCACACATACATATTACAACCTCGTAATCCTTACATACATATTACATCCTCGTAATCCACACATACATATTACAACCTCGTAATAAACATATACATATTACAACCTCGTAATATACACATACATATTAAAATACACACAAATATTATGACAAGATGACTTAAAATGAGCTCACTTTTATTTTCTTAAGATAAGAAATTATTATCCGTCACCACATAATGTGGGAGCTTGCTAGTTTTTTTTTTTTTTAATACCAATAAAACTTTTCTCTCGTACTATCCCAAAACGTTATGAAATAATAAAATCCCTATAAGGTCAGATATTTGATCAGCCAGCCAGGAATACAGCAGTAGTTATACTTACACATTTCAGTGGTAATTTAATAAATGGAGCGGCTAATTCTCTACCAGATTTATCTGTAGCATCTCGAACTGTGTCGTATAATTCTTGTAATTTCTGATCCAGGGGTGAAAATGAACGATTCTTTGGTTTCCTTAAAAAAAAAAGATAATAATATCAAAAAATCAGGGAGACAAAGAAATGGGGTTTAACGTCCTCTCGACACAATTAGGTCATTTCGAGACTTACATATTCAATAATTTGCTCGTGCATAGGGATCTTTAGCAGTTGGAGGAAAACAAAGGATCACACGACCCCACTCTTTGTCATGTCCGAGCATGGAATCGAACCCACGCCACCTGACTCAATGGCAAACCATATGATCTAAAGTGCATGCAATAGACGGCTCCCCTCCGCCCCCCACACTCACACCCCAACCAGTGTTTGATATCTTAATTCTTACTCCATTATTTATATCAATATTGTTCAGCATCTGCGACTACATTTTATAACTCGCCACAGAACCTTTTTCTGTAGTACTCATTTCTTTCAATTTCTTTCTTGAAGTAAACCCATGGAAGCTACGAAATTATGGCCAGCCATCGCAATCTTCCAAATTAACATTTATGATCAAATGACATTTTAACTGGTAAAATAATGTTGCTTACCCTTTTCCTTGTCCTGATTTTGGTGTACCTGTTAACGGGGTCATGGATCGTATTTTAGCTTTTAAAACGCGTTCTAAAGTATTAGCATCTTGATAAACCATGGAACCCTCCTCGTTATAATGTCTGGCGTTATTAAACATCAACTCAAAATCATTGATCAAAGCCTGCTCAGTTGTATACTGAAATATAAACCATTGTATAAAGAGAGAGAAAGTTTAACGTACACCCGACATCAACCAGGTCAATTCGGGACCAGCAATTGGAAGGAAACCAGAGGACCTGAGAAATTTCATAAGGTTGGACAGACAATCCTATTCCTTGTCATGTACAAGCAGGGAAATCGAAACCACGCCACTTGACTCAATGACAGACCTTATGATGCAACGCTCACACGCTAACCATTCAGCCATCCAACCCTCTCAAGTATTGATTAAATTTTGTCCAGTCCGCTCAGTCCGCTCCAAATGCAGTGAAAAGTTTTCAAGAATCAATTGACTATAATAACAAAAGATCATTCGCAACTGATCCCAACACAACAAAGGCAGAATTTAATCGCAATCATCTGCTATTTTCTATTGCCGCCATGATGTAAACTGATCATGACAAGAAACAGATCGAAATGAAATGAAATGGGGTTTATCATCCTACATGGACTGTTCTGCTCTGACGGGGATAATGAAGACAGGCATATACAAAATGAATTGAAATGAAATGGGGTTTAAGGTCCTAGTTTTCTGCTTCGAACTGGGCTAACGAAGACGGGCATACGCCATACAGTGTGCTATGAGGGACATTTTGCCCGGATAGCGGCACTACGGCCTACTCTTACATGTATATTGAATTCCAACTGTCAAGGGATCTTTACGTGCACGCCAATGTGTACACGGGACCACAGTTTTTCGTCCCATCCTGATGTACTAGACAGCTGTCCTTGTCAGGCCCTCTGTCCTGCATCACTGACAAGGGGGTACTACGCCAGAAAATCTGGATGAACTTTCTCGGCCAATGCTGAGATCAAACACCTGACCTCCAGGCTAGCGAGCCAGCGTCTTATCCACTTAGCCACCGTGACCCCCCCACAGGCATATGAGTGAAATTTTTCTCAGACAGTGGGGCTATGGCCTACTATTATGTCAAATTCTAATTGTCAAGGGTTCTTTTACATGCACTTCAATGTGTACATGGGACCTCAGTTTTATTTGTCTCATTTGAAACGACTATACATTTCCCTTGCCAGGCCCTGTTCTACTGACAAGGGGGAACGGGAACCCCGCCAACAAAGTCTGATGAAGTTTCTCAGCCAACACAAGGATCAAACCGTGGACCTCCCGGTTAGCGAGCCAACATCTTACTCACTGAGCCACCATGGCTCCCCAAATCAATATAAGAACGAACTTTAGGACTTTTCGACAAGGAGCTATCATTGTTCAAATAGAGAGTTTCTGTGAGGGGCAAATTTACCAATACATCAGCGCAATCTGATTAAAACACAGATCCTATTTCGTTTTGTTTTTATAGTTAAAAATTTTGTTTTACATGTCTTTACTAAACTAGGATCTGGAAGCGGTGTTATCATTGACGTGTTCTGAATAGTGTGAGGTATTAACCAATGAAACGGTCTGTTACGGCGAGCTTTAGGCATGTTTTGCACGGAACTGTGTGTAATCCACTAGTAACATCAATGCTGATTGGTTAATCAAATGTCTGATGTCATAGGGTCAAAAGCCGCTCGTATGACTTCTGAAGTGATCTATCGCAACAACTGGTCAGATCTTCACGTAGTGTTGGCCAGCAAAAGTATAAAAAACCGAAATGAAATATAAATCTGTATTTTAATCAGATTGTACCTCAGCGCTACTGATAATAAAAATATCTTACCTTTTCTGATTTGATCTTGTTTTCTATCATGGACAGATCAATGGGTTCCATGATGACCTTATAATAGTCTGGGTAATCTTTCTTAGATGGTAAAATCTGAAATATTCCTCGTAACAAACGCCCATTTACATCCTGAAATATCATACAATAATAGCATTAAATTTAATTCCTTCCATATTTCAATATAACATACCAGTGATGGGATTTCAAAAATTATCTTGTCAGACATTTTTACCAAAAATAAAGGGACATTACTCTTATCGTTATCTAAGCAGACAGTTTTAGACCACACACAAAAATCATGTGTCAACAAAATATAAAATACATACACATGTAATATGTAATATATATCACTGTAATAGTGTAAGTTGTGTGGGGGGGGGGGGGAGGGGATATACCCCTGCATCCCCCTCTATATATGTACCTGTATATCAGGGTATCCCTGCATGTTCCCTCTATATCTGGGAGCAACGCACGGTGGCTAAGTGGGTAAGACGATTGCTCGGTAGCTTGTTCGATAAGTGCATTGGCCGAGAAAGTTCATCAGGATTTTCCAACGTGGTTTCCACTAGTCAGTGGTGCAGGACAGAGGGCCTGACAAGGGCAGTTGTCTAGTCATTCAGATGGGACGGAAAACCAAGGTCCTGTGTATACATTGGCATGCATGTCAAAGATCCCTTGGTGGTTGGAATTCGATATAAGAGTAGGCCATAGTGCCACTGCCCGGGCAAAATTTCCCCTCATAGTTCACTGTATGTCCCTCTTCATTAGCCCAGTCGGAGCAGAAAAGTAGGACGTTAAACCTCATTTCATTTCAATTCCCTCTATATGTGTACTTCTAGTGGTAGAACACCCCTCTATATCTCAACATGTATCTCATGGAAGTATTGTAATGTACCTCAAATACGTTTGTATATCAATAAGTGATTTGTAGCAACATAAACTTGCTGAAATGTGTGAAATGACAGAATTTAAAACTGACCCCAGGTCAGACCAAAATCGGTTTGGAACAGCCTAAAACTGGTTGGCATGGGAAATAAAAACTGAATAAAAGTTAGACCACCAAAATAATCATCAAAATAGAAAGAAGAAGGAATAAAATTGTATTCATCAAATTCTAACAGATCTTTAAAGTTCCAACATGCCAGAATAAAGGTTAAATAAAGAATTATAAACACCATACATGTGTAACTAATTAAAAACAGTCTGCTCCAAATATTATTAATAAATTCTAATTTAATGTACAGCCATTTGAAGTTTACTTACATTGTTTTCTAGTGATTTCATGCCTCCTACTCTCTGTGTCTTAATTAAAACAATAATTCTGTTATATTACCTATAAGCCAGCCTGTTAAGCCAGCCTGTTATATTACCTACAAGCCAACCTTATTCTTCAAGTAAATCTACTATAAATCACATGTGCTTACTTAGAAAGAGTAATGGGGTTTAATGTCCACTCGACACAAACTAGGTCATTTCAGGACGAACATATGATTCAATTTTATTTCAATAATTTGCTTGCGCATAGGGGTCTTTAGCAGTGAGAGGAAACCGGAGGACCCAGAGAACCCACAAGGTTGGACAGGCGACCCTACTCCTTGTCACGTACAACCGAGAAATCGAAACTCGCCAGTTGACTCAATGACATACCTTATGATACCACGAGCACACGCTAACCATTCGGCCATCCAACCCCCACTGCTTACTTAGAAATTAACAACGATATTTAAATTAAAATGGTACATATATTTGACTTTTGAGAGAGGTCATCTTTGGACAAATGTATGGTTCAGTTATGTTTCAATGATTGGCTTATATGTAGGGATGTCTACCCAGAGAAAACCCATGAGTTTGGGCCAGGCGACCCTACTCCTTGTCACATACACTTGCTTTGTGATCTGCAGCACACTCATTGACAATCCCCCCACCCCCACACACACTCCAAACCTTTAAGTTAAGTATATCTTGGCAATGCACACACAAATACACATGACAAACACATGCACACACAATATACATACACCACAAACGCACAAATCAAATCAAGTCAATGCATCAGGGAGCTAGCTGTAAGTGTCCACTACGGTGTACAGTGCCAGGTCTGCAAAGATACCTACTTTACTCAAAACGAAAAACAACATGGGAAACATCTATAAACTTGCCGTTAAAAATGTTTAATAACTTACAGTGTATTCATACACGGTCTTAAACAGTGTATTCAGACGGCGACGTAATATTTCTTCCGGACTCCTTTTCTTTTTCTCGCCGGACATTCCTCCCATACTTTTACGATGTTTTTTACTGGATGAGCTGTCTTCATCCCAATCTCTCTCTAATCTCTGAAAATACAAAAACATCCAAAAACATAATCCAAATACATGTAACAATCCAATTTCCTAAATTGTCCAGATCTTGTTGATTTGGGTCAAAAATCAAAATGGTTGATTTCATTGAATTTTATGCTGATTATTTTGTGGGATGATATTTTATAGTTGTGTTCTAGAGAGAGAGAGAGAAATGGGGTTTAACATACACTCAACACAAACTAGGTCATTTCGAGACTAACATATGGTTTAATTTTAGCAGTGGGAGGAAACCGGAGGACCTGGAGAAAACCCACGAGGTTGGACAGGCGACCTTACTCCTTGTCACTTACAACCGGGGAATCGAAACCATGGAAGTTGACTCAATGACACGCCTTATGATACAGCGCACACATGCTAACCATACGGCCATCCAACCCCCCTAGTTGTGTTCTAATGTCAACCCAGTAAACCAACCTTGTGGGTTTTCTCCGGGTCCTCCGGTTTCCTCCCACTGCTAAAGACCCCTACGCGCAAGCGAATTATTGAAATAAAATTAAAAACCATATGTTAGTCCCGAAATGACCTAGTTTGTGTCGAGTGGACGTTAAACCCCATTTCTCTCTCTCTCTCTCTCAACCCAGATAACCAAAATTTTAAGTAAAATTTGTAAGCAAACTGACTTCAACTTAAAGGGGCAATATGCCATTATGGGAGATTAGATAAAGAGCTGGCAGTTCTCACTATAATAGTTAAAAACTAGATAATTTAAAGGGAATATGCTGAAAATTTCAGTCAAATTGCTCTACTCTGAACCTACATATTAGAGATTGAATTTTTTAGACCTAGCCTCGATCATCATTACTAAAGTCAGTAGGATAAAAAACCTAGTCTCGATTAACCATTTTTGATTTAATCATCAATGAGCGTTGAGCAGGATTCAAATCCAGCGAAAATCCGACGCATAAGATGGCATCAAGAGTTGATTAAGGTCTTTTCATGTTAATAAATGTCTAATTAATAGTTTAAATAACATTCCAGGCCTAAAGAAAGACCTGCAATAGGCAAATTTACCTCTTAAGTAATGTATGTTTAATCCTTTGAAATAAAAGTTCACCCAATACTAATCATAACAACACATTCAACACATGGGGGTACACGTATATGGAACTTTCATGGACTTGAAAAATCCAAATGTTCACACGGTCACACCACAACATTCCAGTATTCAATCAAGTTCATATACCGGTATACAGACAACTCACCCCAAAGACAACTCATCCCAATATAAGACAACTCATCCCAATATAAGACATCTCATCACAAGTTAGAAAACAACTCATCCCAAGATGAGTGTTTATTTTAAGTTACGATGAGTTGTCTTTTATCTTGGGATGGGTTGTCTTTTATCTTGGGATGCGTTGTCTTCTAACTTGTGAGAGTTGTCTTATATTGGGATGACTTGTCTTGAGATGAGTTGTCTTTGGGATGAGTTGGTATTCCCTATACCACTACTATTACTTGTATTTTTCAGATGGTAATATTTAAATCAACAGATAGATACTGTGTTAAAAATCTTGGGTATAAATAACATTCTTCTTAATAAACATCTTATTATTAAAAAACAAAATTATTTCGGACATATTTAAATACATCTACTAAAACTAAACGAATAATTCTATGATTTAATAGGCTATTTCTAAATAAAGATTCAAAAACATAAAAAAATTAAGCTTTACTGAAGACTTGATGCTTGCATTAACCCAGATCAAAAATAAACAAAGCCCTCCCAGATCTAAAGCCCTTTCAACCTGAGATATATTTAAAACCATTTAAAAAAATGAGAGAGAGAGAGAGAGAGAGAGAGAGAGAGAGAGAGAGAGAGAGAGTTTAACCTCCACTGGACACAAACTAGGTCATTTCGTTTTTTATAGTTCAAAATTTCGTTTTACTTGTCTTTACTACACTAGGATCTGGAAGAGTTGTTAAATAATCCGTGTTCTGGAAGTCTATTAGGCAAGTTTTCGGCATGAGGTGCACGGAACTGTGGGTAACCCACTAGAAACATCAATGCTGATTGATTAATCAAATATCAGACGTCATAGGGTCAAAAGCCGCTTGTATGACCTCTAACGCGACTTCCCAGTACAACCGGTCAGATATAGATCTGTATTTTAATCAAATTGAGTTCGATCAGCATGAACATCGCATCCCGTTTTTATTGAGCATCGACAACATAATTCCAAGATGACTGCGATGACATCATACTCAGTTCTTGGACATACCTATTTCTTCATACATGTTTCGTGTTATAAACACAAAAACATAACATGGAACACAATTACTATTTTAACAAGATGACTAGTCATCACCATTCCGTGCCTTTGAACTTGTTTGGAAGGCATAAGGAAAAACAACTTCTTGGAATATCAATGGGACTAGTCTGATCATAGTAGCTCGGCAAGGCACAGTCGCTACTCCCTGTAAGGTTTCCACAACAACCTTTGCCTACCTTAATCAGCTGCTGTATGTTAAACATTAAGCTTATACCTCAGAAAATAAAATACTTTAATAGTTTGATGTTTGTATAAAGTTTTAAAAAGATTTCTCTGAACAGATAATGAAATATGCTCTACAAATGAAATCGGGACAGAAGGAAGGTCATCACCAAAAACTAAGTCAAATTTGTTTCCATGGAAACACAAAAAAATATAAATCCCAGAAATTTCTAAATAGCAAAAGGCACAACTACTGTAATAGGTTGATGTGTGTGCAAAGTTTCAGAAAGATATCTTGAACGGTTTATGAGATATGCTCCGAAAACAAAATGGGACAGACGAACGGACGGATGGACCCTATTTCAATATCCCTCCCCAACTCCCTTCGGCGCGGGATAATTAAAGTGACGTTTCATTTTGGGTCCTCTCAATGTTTTCAAAAAACGCTTGCTTGAAACATCGCTTTAATTAAAATAGTAAATGTGCAATCTGAACGACAGACCCACCCTACCTGCTAGCTACTTTTTAATTTCCGTACTTAGTTACGTACGATAATTGTATTCCATATTATGTTTTTGTTTTTATTACGTGCGTCAATTACTAAATGCCGCTCAAAGAAGATGTTCCGTGTTAGTTGCAAGTAACCAAATGTTTAATGGTGCAGTCATGATAAGATTCAACATCCTACATTTACATGTAGTAAATAAAAGCAGTTATTTATCAATCTAAACTACTAAAGCTTTTGTTCTATAATAAAAATCTCTTTGAATGTAACAGGGTTAATATCCACATGTACTGGTCAATCTGACCTGTAGACGTTCATAAAATGTCAATCTGATTACAATACAGATCTATATTTCGTTTCGTTTTTTTATACCTTCGATGGCCTACACTACATAAAGATCTGACCAGTAGTAGTGGGAGGTTGCATCAGGGGTCGTATGAGCGGCTTTTGACCTTATGATGGTGGCATTGATTAATCAATCTGCGTTGACGTTTTTAGTGGTTTATGCACAGATCAATGCATCGCATGCCAAGATGTCGCTGTAACAGATGGTTTCATTCACTAATCCCTCACGCCATCCAGAACGCAGGTTATATAACAACTCTTCCAAATGTGTAGTTACTAGTACAGACAAATAAAACAAAATTTTGAACTATAAAAAACGAAACGAAATAGAATCTATGTTGTAATCAGATTGCAAAAATATAGACCGTACTGATGTTGTTAATGGAGGGTAAATAAGATTCCCCGATCGTCATGAATACCAGCTAAAATGCCTACCTGTGATAATCTAGTTGCAAAGTTCAAGGTTTGTTCAATGTCAAGGTTTCCAGGAAGGTCACTATTTCACAACCTCTGATTGGACGCTACTGTTCACGTGTCTGTAGATAACGTAGCTATAAGTTCGGGAGTTGTGAAGTAACCTAGCAACGTCCAGATGTTGTAAAACTCGCAGTCGTTGCTTTTGGAACATGGGTAATATAATGATATTCAATTTAGCGTGATGTTTTCAAAGAGGTTTTAAACTTAAGCTAAAGTCCAATTTCACAGTTTATGAATATTATGATTATGAAACAATGAAATGGTTGAATATGGCCATTGTTTAACTCTAGGCAAGAAGGATAAATATATAAAACTGTTAATTTACTTCCAAATTACTGATAAAAAAAACTAATGTTTAAAGATACAAATGTACATTATGTAAGATCTAAATCGATATTTTGGATTCAAATGTTATATAAACTATTAATTAGACATTTATTCACATGACAAGCCTATAATCAACTCGCAAGACCATCGGATCGCTGAGATTTAAATAGATATGAATACCTGCAAGATTTAAAAATTTAACAATAAAATGGATAATTGAGATTTAGTCTTAGTGTACCAGTACTGTACAATAATAAACAATCAACACTGCATCTTCTATCACTCAAGTAATTTGAATGAAATTTTCAATTTATTCATTTTTCAATATCTATTTTTGAACTACCATAGCAAGAAGGGCAAGCTCTTTATCTAAAGCTTACATAATGTATCTTTAAGTTTAATTATTGGTATTATAATTATTTTGTCAAACGAAAGAGAGGTGATAAACTGGTGCTTAATTACTTAATAAATCAGGTGAAATGAATGAGAGCTTATATTATTTTATTAAATATGATTTAGCGACGATATGTCAAGCATGAAAAAATTCTAACATGTAGCGGATCAGTACCAGTAAGTAAAAATATATACCAAGACGCAATGTAAACACAAGGACAACCAACCCCCACACTGCGCGGAGGAGAAAAGTCCCTGAATGGTTGTTCATAGATTCCCTCTTCACTCTCGTATGCATGGAGTATATATCTCTGTCTTCATTAGCCAAGTGGGGGGGTTGGAAGGCTGAATGGTTTTCTCTGGGTCCTCAGGTTTCCTCCCGCTGCTAAAGACCCCTACGCGCAAGCGAATTATTGAAATAAAAAATTAAAAACCATATGTTCGTCCCGAAATGACCTAGTTTGTGTCGAGTGGACGTTAAACTCCATTTCTCTCTCTTTTCATTAGCCCAGTCGGAGTAGAACAGTAGTATATTAAACCCCACTTCATTTCATTTCTGTTTCGAGTGTCCATCGTATTGTCTTCATGTGGTGCGTGTGTTTGTCTTCCACACAACCATAGAAGATTTACTGACCCTTGCTTTTTCATAACCACATTTCATATCTCCATGTCTGTGCCAAAAAATGGTGATTTTCAGCATTCTGATTCTGTTGAATTAAATTTTTGGCATTGGAAAGAATTTATGCGTGGTGTGTTTCTCTGATTCTCATATGTTACCAGAACTGATTACATTCAGAAACATGAAATAAAACGACATCTCTAAAATAAGTCTGGGCGATATCACTGGAAACAAATATCGCAATATTTTCACAAATGATTGCGATATAATTACTATATCGCGATAGTTTATAAAATGTCAATAATTTCAGTTTATCACCTTTTAAATGTAAATAAACATGCATAAAAAGTTGCACATCGGCCTGGAACTTCGAGGAATGAACGATCAGGAGTTTATGAGAGAGAGAGAGAGAGAGAGAGGTCCACGACACAAACTAGGTCATTTCGGAACTAACACATGGTTCAATTTTATTTCAATAATTCAATTGCGCAAAGGGGTCTTTAGCAGTGGGATGAAAGGCGACTCCACTCCTAGTCACATACAAACTGGGACAGGCGACTCTATTTATGTACAAATAACAGTATTTATTGCTATTCATTTAATTCATTTATCATAAAACATTAAAATATTGTAAAATAACATAAAAAAGGAGACATTTTTCAGAAAAAAATCATCCAGAAAAATTCAAACCGTAATATACCACGGTTTATTCGGTTTTTTTTTATATTTAAGTTATGTTTGACAGTTTTTATTTCTGCGACGTATTTTTTAGAGAAAAAAACAAAACATCGCCCAGCTCTACTCTTAAACGAGATTTACTCTAGTGTGTTTTCATTGCATCTGGGTATATTATTCCTTCATTACTTTAAAGGCTAAAAATTAGCATCAATAAGAGAGATTAGAATAAAAAATTAGAGGCACACACAGTTAAATCTAAAGTGAAGACTTTACTACTTACCCTGGGAGAATCAAATTCTTCATTTAACATATCCTAATAACAACGCCAATATATATATATATATATGTAATCCTAATAACAACGCCAATATAGAACAGATCTTACTAATCAGCCACATCAAATTGTTATAAATAACCAGTTCGATAACTTTAAACATACATTATGCAAGAGCTAAATTTGCCGATTGCAGGTCTTTCTTTAGGCCTGAAATTTTATCTTAATGATTAATTAGACATTAATCAACTTATCCAGGCCATAATCAACTCTCGATGGCATCAAATTTCTCCGATAAATAGATTAGAACATTTCAGCTATATTTTGATGTAAGCTAAAAATGGAGGAGCGAAACTTAGCTTCGAACAATCAGTACCGTGGTTGAAATTATTGCACACGTCTTGCCAAAAACTTCAAAGGCTAATATTTTCACTCACAATAGAGTAATTTGAATTAAATTTTCAAATTATTCATTTTACATTATCTATTTTTGAACTATTATAGCAAGAATGGCTAGCTCTTTATCTAAATCTTACATAATGTTATCTTTAAATTTATCAATTCAAATTGGGATTAATTAACATCCACACTTCTTTTCTGCACCCACTGGGCTACTGAAAATGGGTATCATGTTATAAAGGAAATTTGCCCGAAGAAAGCCATTTCCACCTACACTTCATTTAACCACTGGATTAAAACTGTGATGGGAATTAATGCAAGCATAGACTTAAGTAAAGCTGTATATTACAAGTACGTTAGTCAAACAAATACCAAAAATAGCTAACTTATTTACAGACCACAAAATATGGTGAACACAAACTGCCGAAAGACAGACGGACAAGAGATGTTATAAAAAATAAACAATAATATAAAATTTGATAATAATGAAGACAAGATAGCTAACCGTAACTCATAATACATGTACATGTACTAATGTACTATAAGAGTGGCTATGAAGACCTGGTTATCCCAGGTGTCAGTGACTAGTTTCGTTCGTATTGATTGGACTCGTGTTTGTTCGTTGGTTCATTCCTGGAAGCCACAAAATAGGCTTGATCCAGCTTTTTTGGTTAAGACACAATGTCTTTGCAGGGAAGCGCCCAAGGTTACCGGGGTTGTGATCTTAGGGGGGTTTGCAAATTTGTTACAGTGTCGGTAGCTCGCTTATTGGGGTTGCACAGAGGTTTGACAACTGATCGTTTAGATTGAAGTGCTAGTGTCTATAATTTTGCTAACTATGATGCTTTTTTTTGGTTTGTAACATTGTTACTTGTCTTAACAATAAAGGGATAGTATATATACGAAATTAAATGAAATGAAATGGAGTTTAACGCCCTACTGTTCTGCTCCGAACTGGGCTAATGAAGACAGGCATACGCCATACAGTGTGCTATGAGGGAAATTTTGCCAAGGGATCTTTTACGTGCATTCCAATGTATACACAGGACCTTGGTTTTTAGTCTCATCCGAAGGACTAGACAGCTGTCCTTGTCAGGCCCTCTGTTCTGCACCACTGACAAGCGGAAACCACGTCGGAAAATCCAGATGCACTTTCTCGGCTCCAAAGTTGGAACACTCAGGGGTAGAGAATTGTATAACAAATACATATACTAAATGTGTACAAATATAGAGTATTTAATCAAACCAATTTCCTGCTGATAATATTACATATTTTTCCAGGAAAACTGGTTTCTATATTTCTATCAAAAATAATCCTCCAAAATATCTTCATCCCTTACCTTGACATCAAACTTGTCTAATTCCCGTTTTCTCTCCATCATGGCCTTCTGTAGAATAACAGCATCCTGATCACCAAATAAAAAACAATAAATTATTATAAGTTCTATATTGATTTTTGCCAGGTATAAAAACGTTGTTTTCCCTCCATAATTATAAAATAAAACAATGATCAATCAGCCATAAAATATCTTTCTAAAGGTGCAAATCTCCTACTGAACATAATTAAAGTAGCTAAGTCTTTAATGCAATATCATCCAGTCTTTGTCAATTTAAATCAATATTGATGTTGTGATCTTACCGGGAAAAGATGTCTTTTGATATCCAATTAAGACAAAATAAACATTTTACAATTGGTACACGAATCATGTACCATAATGCGTTTCAGTGCCATTTGTAACCAGTCATGTCAAGCAGTGACATATTCTTATCTGGAGAACATGCACAGTAAATACTAACGGTGTAGACTGGAATAACCAGACGCTAGAGATTGCCATTCAATTGAGAGTTCTGGTGTATTTCGCAAAACATAACTGATTTGAAATTAAGAGTAAAATCAGAAACAATTGAATGTAAATCAGTTGATATACATTCATATTACATTATTATATACGTTGCAACCCATTTATGTCAATTTCTAGGTCCCAAATATTAGCGATTTAGCTCCTTTAATTTCAGAGAGTTTAAAGTTTCTGTGAATAGGCCTACTAGGACATGCTAAACGATTCCATGTCATTTCGGTCCAGCGTCATTTCGGACATTTCGGACTCGGGTAGGTGACGTTTCGGACCCGGTCAGGCGACTTTTCGGACTCGGAGTGGCGACGTTTCGGACTCAATAAAATCTGAAAAATTCTATGTATATATTGTAATAACTGGGTTTTTTTTCGTTTTAGGTGAGGCTGAAAACAGACCATTCACAATAATAAAGAAATTAAACATTGTTAGTTGTGTTTTATTTATCCCATACAGACCTTAAGCCCGTCGTACACGAGCAAATTTTCTTTGACAAATGGAGATTTGTCAAATAAATTTGCTCGTGTACGAGAGGAAATTTGCCACATTTTCATTTGCCATATGAGATTTGACAAAAGCTGGCATGTGTCGGACTCAACACAAACGTCGTTTCGGACTCAGTCAGGCGACTTTTCGGACTTACTCAGCGACTTTTCGGACTCGGTCAGGCGACTTTTCGGAATCGGACTGGCGACGTTCCGGACTCAATAAAATCTGAAAAATTCTATGTAAAAAACAGTTATTACAAATATATACATAGAATTTTTCAGATTTTATTGAGTCCGAAACGTCGCCAGTCCGAGTCCGAAAAGAGATGACAGTTCCCTCTATAATAGTTAAAAAATAGAAAACGTAAATGGAATTTCCAGAAAATCCAGTCAAATGAGCCTCAATTGTCATTGTTACGATAATAAACAAAGTCTTGATTATCCACTTTTACGGTTAATCATGAACAGCCATGGAATCGCAGATCAGATTTAAATCAATTTAAAATCATACCTATCCGATGGCATCGAGAGTTGATTATGGTCTTGTCATGTTAATAAATGGCTAATTAATAGTTTATATAACATTTAAGGCCTAAAGAAAGAAATGCAACAGAAGATTTAGCTCTTGAATAATAATAATGGCCCTATTTGCCAGAATCATGATCTATGGTTATAAATGTCTCGAGATAGATTTACTTAACTGACACCATTCAAGGGAGAGAGAGAGAAATGGGATTTAATGTCCACTCGACACAAACTAGGTCATTTCGGGACTATCATATGGTTCAATTTTATTTCAATAATTTGCTTGCGTGTAGGGGTCTTTAGTAGTGGGAGAAAACTCCACGAGGTTGGACAGGCGACCCTACTCCTTGTCATGTACAACCGGGAAATCGAAACCTCGCCAGTTGAGTCAATGACATGTGCTATATTCGGCCTTCCAACCCCCTGGCCAATGAAAAGGCTAGATTCTTAAAATATTTTACATTTTTAATGAAGAAAACTCCAGCATGTGCTAACTATTCGGCCATCCACCCCCTCCCCTGCCAACCCCCATTCAAGCGCCTTAGAGAATTCAATTCTTGAATGTTTATTTAATCAACTGTAACCACAGTTCAGTTTCATTGAGTTTATTCAACTTACTTTATAAAGTCTAGACTGGGCCATGTTGTATCTTTTAGCATTTTCAAACATTAAATTCATATCAGATGCCAGTTCACTTAAACTATTGTACAGTCGATTCTAAAAAAAAACAACATATCAACATATATCAATCTAGGTAAACTATTATACTGGCGATTCTACAATCAATCTAGTTAAACCATTATACTGGCAATTCTAAAACAACAAAACATATCACCACATATCAATCTAAGTAAACTAGTATACTGGCGATTCTAAAACACCACATATCAATCTAAGTAAACTAGTATATACTGGCGATTCTAAAACACCAAATATCAATCTAAGTAAACTAGTATATACTGGCGATTCTAAAACACCACATATCAATCTAAGTAAACTAGAAAAATGATCTTTTAGAGGCATTTAGTAACTGGATAGAGCAATAAACTATAACACATACTTATGGGAAAACAATTACTGATTTATTTGGGCGACGTTTTGAAGAGTATTCTCTCAACGTTTTCAAGACTTGCTTGAAAACGTTGAGAGAATACTCTTCGAAACGTCGCCCAAATAAATCAGTAATTGTTTTCCCATAAGTATGTGTTATAGTTTATTAAACTAGTATACTGGCGATTCTAAAACATATGATATAAACTATTACACTGGTCATTCTAAAACATATCATATAAGATAACTTCCTTTGTTTTTGCAACAACTGGGCTAATAAAAATGGTCATCCTTGCTTTTAACAGACCGCAGTATTTCTCCCTACACTTGATTGAATTCCAACTGTCACCTCAGTTTCTCGACAGTCCTACATCACTGACTTGGAGAATAGCTGGAAAATCCTGAGTAACTTTCTCAGCCAACTCACTTAGCCATAAGGGGTATCGGAAGAAGGTGGGGGTGCATTAACCTCACTATTTACAGAAAACTAGAAACTTTCTACAAGTGGAAAGATTGGTTTGAATTTCTGGAAATATATCTTTGTTTAAAGAGAAATTGTTAATCGGAATAAAAGCTATATTACTGCTTTGACTTACCTTTAATTTTTTACGTATCTGGAAAAGTGAAATTGGTCGTTTTATTTCTTCATAATAATCTCGATAAATTCTATAAAAAAACAAATGTTACATAATGATCATAATCAATTCCAAAATAAACAACAAAACATATATTTCAAATAATGATCTTAAGTTCTTCCAGATTTCCTTGTTAGTGGTACAGACAGTGGAGGGCCTGGCAGGAGTTGGAAATCGAAGAGCATAGGGTAAAGCCGCCATCTAGACAAAATTTCTTTCATAGGACACTACATGTTGTGTGCCCTCTTCATTAGCCCAGTCGGAGTAGAACAGTAGGATGTTACAAATCTTTTACATTTTAAGCGTTATCCAACAACCAAAGCATCTCCAGACACAGGTGTCAGGAATAAAATAGATAGAACTTGCCATTTATTTGGTAATTTAAGGAATGGAAAAGATAAAACTAATTGTTTATTTGGTAATTTAAGGAATGGAAGAGATAAAACTTACCGTTTATTTGGTAATTTAAGGAATGGAAGAGATAAATCTCCGTCTGGTGTTTGATAGTTACGAATCGTGTTATACAACGCCCATTGTGGATTTTCATCTTCAGATACAGTTGTATCCGCTTCTGAATCGTAATCTATTTGAGATGTGTTAACCTCTGTTGTATCGCTCTCGTCATCAGATGGGTAAGTCAACGCAGCACAAATAGCAGACATCTTCTGTATTGGACATTTCTCTCGTGTAGCTCTGTAAATATGAAAAATAAACAATTAATGTTAGTCCGCCACTCAAAACATTCTTGTTTTAAAAACCATGATCTGTAAATAATCGGTGATTAAAAAAAAACCGACAGCACCTTAGAAACTGTAAATATAAACAATGCAACAATTAAAGTCAGTCGTCCATTTTAAATCTCAACTCAAAACATTCTTGTTTCAAAACCCTGATCTGTAAATAATCAGTGATTAAAAGAACCAACAGAGCTTTACAAACTGTTCTTCAATATTAATGAGCTTTATAAATGGCGATATCCAAGTGCGATCCATGAATAATAATCTAGTAGGGCCTAATAATTAAACATGCATTATGTAATTGATGTAAAGAGTTAGATAAAGAGCTGACAGTTCTCGCTATAATAGTTCAAAAATAAATAATGTAAAATGAATTGAAAATTTCAGTCAAATTACTTGTTTCTGAGTGAAGTTATGATTGTTTGAAGTTTTAACAAGATAGTCTTGATTGTCAAGTATCATTATTACGATAAAAAACAAAATCATGATTATCCATTTTTAAATTAAATCATTAAATGGTGTTGTGTTACAATCCATTGAAAATCCCAGCCATCAGAATGATAATCTAGAGAGTTAATTATGGGCTTTCTGTGTAAATAAATGTCGAATTTATAATTTTTATAACATTTGAAACCAAAATAGAGACTTGCAATAGACAGATTTAGCTCTTCAATAATGCATGTTTAATGAGTCTTACACTGTTAAACTGATACTGGTAACTTATGGATCAAGGACATATACTTACAAAATTTTTACCATAAAATCATACAATTCATCATTACTTGTTAGTAATAGACATTAAACCTTAACCGGTTGACGTCATGACGTCAAGTGGTCAGGCTAAATAAAGGCGGACGTGAAATATTTTGTATGCCTATTTCAATCGACTACTGCCGAATGATTATAAGTGATAGACTCTTGACACCAATAAAAAAAGTAGAAGGGGATAAGTTGATCTATAATATGCAAATCATTCTAAATCCTTTTCATCAGAAATATCGTCTTCAGAATCGGTGTCATCGATATAATCTGAGTCGGAATAATTCATAAGTATTTCAACCACTTTGATAGTCTTTAACCTTCCCGACATCGTTAAATTACGTTTTGCGTCAAAAAATGTTGAACAAAGACCTGTTTTTCTCAATGCCCTTGACAAGACAAGTTCCTGTCTGACACACATGCATGACCATATCAATTAAATACGAAACTAAATACTCAAATGTGACTTATAAACAAGGTTCTTGCTGTGATCGACTTTAGTCGACCATGACCACTTAGCTGTATGTGATTATAGTCGACAATGACCGGTTTAGGGTTAATTAGCCAGAGTATAATTAGTTGTAAAAGATGTTACTACTTGTGTAAAAGTGTGACAAATTATAACACCCATCCCTGCTGAATACACAAACCCAATCAATAGCAATGTATATCATTTGTTTGACTACTTGTATACAAGTGTGACTTAGTTATAATCCCTGCTGAATACACAAACCCAACCAATAGCTATATATCATTTGTTTTGACTAGAACTTTTAAACATTTCAAATATGCTGTGTTATGAAAAGCAGGCAATACGAATGATTTCCATATTTTAAATACTGAAGCTGACTATAAATTCAGATGTTGACTATAACTTTGATTACCTCTCGTATCGAAGATTCAACCTCTCAGTTGGTGGTTTGGCCGTCTGTCTTTTATGATCCAGTTCTTGACGTTTTGTGATAATTACCTTCCTTAATGTCATAGCATCCTTCAAATAAAACAATGCAACAAATTTTCAAAATACAGTGGCTCTTGTCAAATCCGACATCGTACGGGATCGTTACAATATGTCGGATTACGCAGAGTGTCGGAATACTCAGTTTTCTCAAAACCGGAAGTGTATTGTAACTTCGAAAACCGGAAGGATTATTATAATGTAACATCGAATCCCCAGAACGTTATTCACTTTAAAAATTATTCAAAATTTTATTACATTAATTTTTATTTCATTTAACATGTGTAGGCATTTTGAATAGGTCAAGTCTGTCGTTAATTTATCTTCTTCATCGTCTTCAGTTGATGCACACTTGTCTTTGCTGTCACATGTTCATTGATAATCTGTCGTTCTATGTCCAGGTCATCGTCACACGGTTCGGAGTATGCCATACAGTCTGCTATGACGAAAATCTTAACCAGGTAGCAGCACTATGGCTTTGCCAGGGAATCTTTTACGTGAACGCCAATCTATACATCTGAATGTCTAGACAGCTGTCCTTGTCAGACCCTCCTTCCTGCACTGCTGACAACGGAAAACCATGTTGGAAAATCCCAATGAACTTTCTCGGCCAATGCAGGGATCAAACATGTGACCTCAAGGCTAGTGAGCCAGCGTTTTACCCACCTAGCCATCGTGGCTCCCTCTAATTATCACATGTCTGAGTGGCAAAATTCACCCGAGATCCTGGACAAACTAAAATAAGTGAAAATTAACACAATGAGAGCCTTGATGAATCAAAGCAGGTGAAAATTAAAATAAAATTCCGACTAACCTTATATATTTGTGATTTTGGCGTATTAAATGTTTTTGCGTTTTTCAACATGAGAAGTAAATCTTGTTGTAATGTAGCCAGAGTTTTATATTCATTGTTCTGTATTTTCTGGGCGATGGTCCGTAAATCAATCGGGTCTTTAATAACATCATAATAATCGGGATATCTCTGGAAATATATCACATGTATATCGTAAGTATTGAACATTCAGGTGATAATTTCAATTAGTCTAATTAGATCTAATACAATAAGTTATATTTATAGCACGGCTTTCATGAGTTAACAAATTTAACCAAAGGTTGTAGGCCGAGGCATTAAACCTGTTAACGAATGAAGCGTGCTATAAATGACTTGTAACATTGACACCTGCTCAACATGCTTGTTGTTATTGCACAGAAAACCCCATTTCTCTATATGATTTATACTAAAAGTATGCAATAACATTGAACATGTCTAGTTATTGCACGGTTAAGCTCCACCCAATCTACTAGAGGGAAAACAATCTGCTTATTCAACGAAAATATCAAAGGAAGATTTCCCGTCCATTCTCCTTTATAATGGAGAAAGAAATCATAGACTTTACAAGTTCGAATTGAAAAAATCCAATACTTTCATGAGAACAATGTCTTGTATAAATACCAATCAGGTTTACCAGTAAACTACTCTACTGTCTATCAACTATTAGAAGTCTATAATGGGATATTCAACGAAAAGAACAAAGGAAGATTTCCCTTCCATGTTACAACTGTATTTAATAAGTAATGCTTGATTGAACCCTCTACTTCGAGAAGAGATCCCTGTCCTGAATGGCCACCATAGTCAGAACTAAGTATAATATTTCGTAATGTGGTTATATTCCCATTCACATCTGTCACACACACACAACGATGAAATAAACATAAGCGGAATAAACACTTCCCTAAATTCTTGAAGTATACTTTGTGTTCTCGTCTAAAATTGTCAATTAAGCAATTAAAATGTTGGTCAACTAGTTTAGTGTCTGTTCTCAAGAAAAGCTAATTCTATAGGGAGACAGCCTAAGTTTAGTATGAATGAACTGGTCTAATGAAGACTGGCATACAGTGTGCAATAACAGCTGTATTTCCACCTTCTCTTCATCAAATTCTGACAATGGTTCATGCAAATGACTACCCAGATAGACCTTGTTTGTTTGTTCCATCTGAACGACTATACACTCTTCCTTGTTAGGCCTCTGTCCTGCAACAAGGAAAGGGGGACATCACTCCGTCCTGCACCAATGGTTAAGGGCCATCACTCCGCACTGCACCACTGATAAGAGGAAACCAGACTGGAAAACCTGGGATTGAACCTAGGACCTCCTGGTTAGTGAGCAGGCTCCGAACCAAGGACCTCTGTGGCTCCGAATCAATGACACGTTATTCATAGGTTTTCTTTAAAGATTTACCGTTTTAGGTGGAAGAAGTTGAAATATTAAACTGATGTCTCTTTCATCATCTCTAGCCGTTACAACCGAACCAAATAATGCTTCTAATTCGTCTGGATCCGCTACGCTACCTTCATCATCTGGTTTCTATAAATAGATCAAAACAGATAGAAAAACAAGTTGGGTGCAAAATAATTATAAAGCTTATAAGTTAATTATAAATATGAAAAACATGAAAATTTTTGAAGAGGACGCCCTGATTTTAACTCTGAGTCTTCGTATAAAGCATCTCTTGTTATATTTTACACGTACATTATAATATCTCATGTAATATTTATTGTTATATTTTATATGTATATTATAATAACTCATGTTATATTCATTGTTATATTTTATACTATACCTCATATACATGTATGTATATTATAATACCTCATGTTTCATCCAGATTTTCCGGCGTGGTTCCCCCTTGTCAGTGATGCAGGACGGAGGGCATGACAAGGACAGCTGTCTAGTCCTTCGGATGAAACGAAAAACCGAGGTCCCATGTATACATTGGAATGCACGTAAAAGATCCCTTGGCAGTTGGAATTCGATATAAGAGTAGGTGATAGTGCCGCTGCCCGGGCAAAATTTCCGTCATAGCACACTGTATGGCATATGCCCGTCTTCATTAGCCCAGTATAGGAGCAAAACAGCAGGACGTTAAACCCCATTTCATTTCATTTCATTTAATACCTCATGTAATATTTATTGTTATATTTTACATGTATATTATAATACCTCATGTAATATTTATTGTTATATTTTACATGTATATTATAATACCTCATGTAATATTTATTGTTATATTTTACATGTATATTATAATACCTCATGTAATATTTATTGTTATATTTTACATGTATATTATAATACCTCATGTAATATTTATTGTTATATTTTACATGTATATTATAATACCTCATGTAATATTTATGGTTATATTTTACATGTATATTATAATACCTCATGTAATATTTATTGTTATATTTTACATGTATATTATAATACCTCATCGTCTATTTTACTGTCATTTAAATTATCTTCATCATCGTCGCCATCTTCCTCCATCACTTCTTCTGGTTTCTTCTCTTCCGTTTTCTCATCGCCGAATGCATTTGACAGTAGTTCATTCTTCGTTTTCTGGTACAACTCTAATAATGCTATAGCATCATTGGATTCTGGGGTGTTTTTCTGAAATAATTTACAGGTATTCAGTCGAACTTGAGTCCTAATAACAAGCAGTAATAACTGGATTATAACATTGATATCTATCAATAATGAAATGTGTCTCATCAACTAATCGGATCAATGAACGCACCATCTCCTACATTATTAAAATGGTGATTCGTTTGCACGTGAACGGTTGTCTTGTCTTCACAGGTGATGCAGTGAAATGGGGGCGGGGCTAAACATGTCACTAAATACTATTCAAGCTCATTTTTATTGCACAGGAAACCAAATCCACTTCTTAGTTATAGCTCCACCCAATCTATTAGAGCAGAAACAATCTGCTTATTCAACGAAAATAGCAAAGGAAGATTCCCAGTTCATGTTACAAGTTCTAATATTGGACTTGAATAGTATTTCAAAACACAACTTTTTTAATTTAGTGTTTGAAGGTTCCATTCCTCTAAAATTGGACAGATCTTGGCGTTTAGTTCAAGTATTACATGATAATACTAGTAAATATAAAATATCTCCTATCTTGATTCTTATGTGGCTAACCTGACAGCCATTGCCATCTTTATGTTTATATAATTTTTTAATTCCATAAATTACATGTAACTGAGTCGATCTTGTTCATAAGAAAACGCTTATTTGACATTGACACATAACCGAAGGTGAACAGGCCTACCCGTCCAGTTAATACAACGGACAATCTCACATCCGTACACAAAAGAGAGGCACATACTAGTCGCCTCCTACTTCCGATTTCAAAGGCATTATAGTCCAAACCTTGACACTAATACTAATAAACCATTTGGTACTATTTCGTACCTATATCATATTAAACCTCTCGGACGCCATTTTGAATTACACAGTATTTAACGTTCTAAAACCTAACTACTTTATGGAATCAACAACAAGCTAAACTTGGGCACTCCAACCATTTTTATTTTTGTTTCACAATACATGTAACTGAACTAACCTTATAATAAGCTTTAGCGTTATTGATCAATAATTCTACATCTGTCGTTAATTGTTCTATATCTTCGTATTCTTCCATTTTAAGTTTCTGTTGAATTTTCAATAAATCTATCGGTGTTGTTACTACTTCGTAATAATCAGCTGCAGTCCTAGAAATAAAAATATACATTCATGTACGAGGTGGTACAGGGGACAACATACCTGTACGAGGTGGTCCAGGGGACAACATACCTGTACGAGGTGGTCCAGGGGACAACATACATATGCGAGGTGGTCCAGGGGACAACATACATATACGAGGTGGTCCAGGGGACAACATACATATACAAGGTGGTCCAGGGGACAACATACATGTATAGTAGTTCTCATGGTACAAAAAAATGAGGTCCCTTGTTGGCATGTACACCTTGGCGGGAAAGTAAAACTACATGTAAAAGAACCCTTGACAGTTGGAATTCGAAATAAGAGTAGGCCGTAATGCCGCTGTCCAGGCAAAATTTCCCCAATAGCACACTGTATGGCGTATGCCTGTTTACTTTAGCACACATGTTAAACCCCATTTCATTTAAAATTTTATTCACACTTGAAACATTGATTGTTAATTTCAATCAGTCAAGAAGCTTATTTAAATAATAATAATATGTTATAATAATATATATCTGTAAATCCGCAAAACGTACCCATAGCACATACACATGTACATACACTGTACATGCTATGGGCTTTTATTTTCCTAACATCACCTTGAGAGAGGGAGAGAGAGAGAGAGAGAGAGAGAGAGAGAGAGAGAGAGAGAGAGAGAGAGTTTAATGTCCACTCGACACAAGCTAGGTTAGTTTAGGACTAACACATGGTTCAATTTTATTTAAATAATTCGCTTGCGCATAGGGGTCTTTAGCACGGGAGGAAACCGGAGACCCCGGAGAAAACCCACGTACAACTGGGGAATCGAAAACATCAACTTGAAGTGAATAGTAAGTTCAAGATACCATATACTGTACAATCATTGGTCTAAAGAAGAAATTAAAAGATATTTTTTACCTTCTTTTAGGAACCCGAATAAATGCTTCACACAGTAAGCGGCCATCTTCTGTTTTATGGTTTCTGATTGTGTCGTATAACTCTTGACAGATTTCAACCTGCAATCAAAAACACAAATAAATGATTATAAACTTAATCCTTATAAGACATATAGAGGTAGATTTCACAAATTAAAAACACTTATATGGATATACTACTTCTGAATTTATTAACATGCTACGTTTCGATACACATACAGATATCGTTATCAAACAAATAAACTTTCGCTTAAATGGAAAGTTGCAAAGAGACCATAAAATAAAGGATTAATACTTGAGAGTGTGGATGATCCACTATTTGTATTGGTTGCCATTTTATATCACATCAGGCAATCGTAAAATACATGTAAGAAAATTAAAAGATCCATGTAAAGAAGAATTTGTAATGCAATACTGTTTACATTAACCTACATGTGTAGATGTATACATAAGCTTCAGTATAAAATACTAGAATAAAATTTGATGATAAATTTGATCAAGGTGAGTCACTAGTCAGACAGTCATAATTTGCATTTCTATGTCAGAACTAAAGCACTGCATACAGTACATGTAGGTGAAAACTCTGACTATGGAATATAATTACTGCACTTATATTAATGAGTGACATTTCAACTACATGTACATGTATATAGACGTCACCAGTCATTATCATGCAATAAAGGGTAATAAACAGTAATTACATGTTTCATAGAATTTGGACTTGCGTATTCCAATTCAATTACTAAATCATCACTATAACAACAAAAGCAAGGCTGTTAAATAATATTCATTTATTGAGAATATTATTGTACTGTTAAATGTCTGCCAGAACTGAAATGCTGTTATTAGAACATCAAAGTAAACTTACGGGATCGTAATGAAGAGCTTTTTTTCTGCGTTTTACTTGAGGAGCAGGCGACTCTTCTCGTTCATCTATTCTACCATCAGATCCTGGAGCCAAACTTCGCTTCCTCTTTGGAGGCATGATCAATCTAGAAGTAGAGAACCAAATTTGAATTTATTGTGAAAAACTGTTTATATTTACATGTAGTTTGGATGTTAAATCATATATATGTTGCAAGCTTACAATGTACATACAGATTGCTCATGAAATGTTACAGGGCACACTCAGTCAGTTTAAAACTAGAAATTATTTTTGTTTCTTTAATTCAGATGGTCATTTCATTTCCATTGTCTTGATGCACAATTTTAAGCAATATAGGAATCACTTGAACACTACAAAGGGAGGGTGTAAGGGAGCAAGGAGGTTAAACATCCACTCAACACATACTTTGGGACAAACAGTAACATATGGTTCAATTTTATTTCAATAAACACATCAGATGACTCGGCATGAGGTTGGACAAAGAACCCTATTTGAACAGTGAAAATCCATAAAGCAAGGCTAGCATCTCTACTAATATTGTCACCAATAATCTTCCACTATTTAACTGATACTACTACTAGTTCCTTTAGGAACTGCTTCTTATCGAACTCTGTCCTCTATGGGTTATAACAAACTACAATAAGAAGCTGTTACTAAAGTAACTCTGACACTAACATCTTTGTAAGGTGCTGTCTCCCGCTACAGACAGACGGTGTAGCACATCATTCGGGCGGATGCGGGTCAGTTCATCCCACGGCCGTTTCACCCGGGCTGTTTCATCCCAACCTATTTTTTTATCGGGCTGTTTCACCCCGGGCTGTTTCATCCGCCTTGTTATTAGAATAGCAGTTAATTAACTGAGTTGTACTTATATTGTTAAATAAACTGTTAAACACTTACTTATTGTTTTACTCGTCGATTTTTGTTGATTACCGATCACGACCGAGATTAGTTCACCACTGTATTCGTATTGTTTGTTAATTGGCGTTATGATTTTAGATTTAGGTCAGTTCACCGATGTTTTTGTAGTAAAGTATATTCGTATTGTTTGTTAGTTTATGATGTCTAACATCATTTATCTTCTTTATAAAAAGGTATTCTATAATTACATATTGACAGCTTAATCACTCGCCAAAATACATCATATTCATGGACTCTACGTATTACCCAATAATCAACTAAATTGCGCTGGAGCCCCTTTTAAATAAGACAAATTAGGTTGATATTATTTCGAAACCATAATTAAAGGACCTGTGTAAATTTGGGATGAAACAGCCCGAGATGAACCGGTAGTGGGATGAAACGACCTGCTCCCCATGATTACATGTCATTTGGGACTCACGTCATTTGGGACTCGCGTCATTTGGGACTCAAAAAAATATGACCACGACATTTGGGACTCGGGTATACGACGTTTGGGACTTTGGTATACGTCGTTTGGGACTCGGGTTAACGACGTTTGGGACTCGGGATAATTTATTAGAAATAGGCCAATTCAAAACACGAAAGAAAATATTTATTAACATGAAACACGTGGTTAGTAAAAGGCTCAACCAAACAATAAAACATTAGTTGCACTTACGGTTCTTTGATAATCATCGTTTCTCATAAAATATATATTTATTTAAAACGAATTATATGCTGATGAATTTATTTGAAAATGACCTACACAAAAAACAAAATAAATATTTACACGACATGCAATCTTTTTTTTACAAGCCCCTAGAAATTGTTAACGATAATCCGTGAGCTGCACGTTGACATGCTTGTCGTAGATGGCAATACCAATTGATAAATTAGTGCGTACAAGGCAAAGTTTTTTTGTGGAAAATATAAGAAATGGCAACGATCAAAGCGGGATAATTAAAGCTGATTAACTGATAATCCCAATGTTATAACAGTATGTTCAAAGAAACCTAACGGTTCTTTGGTGGGTGAGGAAAAACGTGAGTTGTCAATCATCGAGAATGGCGGGTGTTGATTGCAGTTATACCGTTTCACGAAAAAACATTAGCAATGGTCGGTCAATCAAGCTCGTTTACTATTTGATAAAAGAAAAACACAAATTTTCAACAATATATTATTGTCAAGTTTTATACTCGCAGATAAAACAAAACAAAGGAGAACTAGCAGTGTTAATTGCGGTCTCAACAATCGCCGATCAACTAAATAAAACGAAAGACAACTAAGACAGCTGTTCTATATATCTCATAAATAAATAGTCCCAACTGTCGTTTATATTGAGTCCCAAATGTCGTTTGTGTTGAATCCCAAATGACATGATACCCTCCCCATCATGCCATTCGCCTCATTCGGGCAACCAACAACCAAAATGGCTAATAATTATATAAGTAGCCTACCCCTCTGTCGAGAACAGTTCTTACTGGTCAACGCCAATGTAGGCTTTAACGACAGGTTCAACTGTGTTATTATTATAACAATTATATCAGGTCTGGGGGCCATTCTCGCGTAAGCAGTCGGGCTCAGAGTCAGAATCATACAAATTGAAAACAAAGAAAACATCGAAAGTTTTAAGAAAATAATCATCGTCTCCTGTCAAAATTCAAGAGAAATCAATTCTAAATATGTGCAGATTGTGAGATACAAAGCCTTTACCTCTTCCTCAATTGACGAGAACAATATTATATCCAGAATTTGTCGATTTATTCAAAATAAATTTGCAAAAATATCAAAACGCTACAAACGCCGCCATAATGGATAACTTAACGGCATCACGTGATCTTGGAACGAGATTTCTTACGAAGCAGTTTTTTATCACCAATTAGACATCGTGCGACTTTATAATAGGGTCTAATGATTCCAGAAAATTATAGTTTCATAATAACAGCCTCCTAATGTAAATAAAATCGTCAAATGGAATTTTTAAAAAGCCATACGGCCCATCGCGGTGGTGACTAGTTGGCGATTCCCGAATGAAAGTATCAGGCCCGGCAAACTGATCAGCAGAAAATATGCGTTAGGTCGCTAATATCTATTTCTCATAGTTAATTAATTAACTCTCAATATTAACGTTTTTTTCTTCCACAAATCAAATTCTAAAACATTTTTTTTTAATTATTAAGAAAATAGATAAATATGCTGGGAGTATATAATGGTAAAATACATATTTTCTATTTAGCGCATTGCCGCTATGAAACAGATGTGATTGGTGACCTAGATGTATGGATTCCCGCTATGAAACAGCTAATAGCCGCGATCGGACCTGCATGTATGGATTGCAAAACACGCAAACCTGACGTTTATCTGTTTTAGAGTGCAAATTAAAAATCTATTTATTAAAGGTTTCAGATGTTGTGGAAATTATTAATTAGACCTTTATTTACATGACAATCTCCAAATCAACCCGGCAGAACCTCGGATTGCTTGGATACAGCTTAGATTTAAACAGTCGTCCATTAAATAAATAAATCAATAACTGGCTGAGCAAGCTAACGTTTACCGTTAATCACTGGCGTCACTACCGGAGACTGCCGATGAAAGGCCTGCTAATCGAGGGTACCATAGCCATTGAAAATGTTGCATGATAATCGAGAATATGTGGGTAGAGTTATTGTCTGTCAATACAAAAACTGGCAATTCTCGGAGACGGTGCGGAGACAGTTGATGTCTATTTCTAGCATTCCAACAGTAACAGCCATAGTGACGCTGCCCGGGGGTTAGGGCAAAACTTCTCCCATAGCACATTGTAATATTGCGTATGCCCGTCTTCATTAGCCCAATCTGAGCAGAACAGTAGGACGTTAAACATCATTTTATTTTATTTCCTCCTGACCTCGGACAAATCCTAAAGCTCCTTCACAGCACAGAGTAGGCGTGTATGGATGCACCTGGAGCAATAAAATTATTAGTAGTACATGCAAGGTCTCCTGCCCGCGTCTTTTACTTCAACTGCCATGTGGCTGTTCACATGTCCTCACTTTTCATTTTTTTCTGTACACCGATAGTATTTATTGCACATACTCTCAAGATAAGAATATAGCGTCACCGTTTGACATGACTTGTGGAATATGTTTAACCTCGTTCTTCGAGTCCCTTGTTATAAATGGCGCTGAAACGCATTATAGTACGTAGCCTACACGATTCGTGTACCAATAGTAAATTTTTTATTTTGTCTTAAAGGGACAATAACACTCTTGCTGGCTTGAAAGCTCCAGAAAATAAATAATATCTCTATTTAAGTACTAGATGTTTAAGTGTCCTACCTGTTGTGTAAATTATCCATTACATCCTATTTTACTTGTCCAGAGGGTTCGAAAATATTTTTAAATCGAAGTTTCATTTGAAAAGGTTTACGTTAGACGTTTCAAACTATTATGTTGAATTTTTCAAAATTTCTAAATAAGGTGTGTTAAGATGAAATTTGTATTATCAATTAATTGAAATATTCTAAAATAGTACAATTTGTTTACCAGAATAAAGATTGGGACATATTATTCAGTTACAACAAGAGTGGTATTGAGCCTTTAAATATTGGATATCGGAAGCCCATATGTACCCGGTAAGATCACATCAATGTCGATTTAAATTGACAAATAATTCGTGTTTTCAATGTTGATATATACAACTACGTATAGAATTCACCGATTAGACGAATATACATAAATATGGGGTTTAGTGCCTTACTTTCCTGTTCCAACTCGGCTAATGAAGACGGACAAAGGACATACGATGTAGTATGAGGGAAATATTTAATGTACATGTTGTTATATAGACAGATGATCACATATCTTCTAACGGAAGCTGTATAAGTTGTTAAACCAGTTGTACAGCGTGACAATCAGGAATCTGGGTGATCATTTATTCGACATAATTTATAAAATTATAATCACGAATACAGACGAGAATAATCATCAAGTGACGCGTATACAACTATTATACACCAGGAAAATGGCTGGTATCGTAAATTGGTACAGAAATATGATCAACTCAAATCATAAAATTCAGTAAGTTTTGATTTTAAATAATACTTTGTTCTCACTCTATATTCAACCGACTTTATAAGCCTGTTATAATTTTTGAATGGCATTTAGCGTTTGAACATTATTTAACACAACACAGTTCTATGGATAACAATCACTATATTATATACACAGGACGTTTCGACAAGATTTCACTGGTCGTTATCAAGCATACAAATTACAAAATTTATGATTGGGCAGCATTTGTCAGAATAACTTCTATTCACTTCGATCTGATGTGTGCATTTGTTGTTTGTGTTGTTTGTATATTGTGTCCTGTCAGTAGGTTTGTCTTTTGTATTTGTTTGTTTGTTTGTGTGTGTCCCCCTGTACCTACTATTAGTAATACCGTGGACAGGTTCGGCACAACCTGGCGGAGACCGGAGTAATTGGACCTGTGAGGTCCCCATCACATTACGGATGCCACTCGTACCCTTACTGATGAATGAAAAAAAATCAAGGATAGGATTGTGTGTGTGGGGTGGGGGGGTATCAGAGAACTTGCCCGTTGGGTCATCTATAATTCAAATAATAAATGTTTATGGTGAATTTATATGTTTTAGGCTGGTTAGAGAGAGAGGGAGAGAGAGAGAGCGAGGGGGGGGGGGGGGGCTATGGGGTTTAACGTTCACTCGACAAAAACTAGTTCATTTCTGGACAAACATATGGTTCAATTTATTTTCTAGAATTCGCTTGCGCGTAGGGGTCTTTAGATGTGTAGGGAAACCAGAGGACCTAGCGAAACCTCACAAAAGCATGCAGGGAATCGAAGCTAAGCCATTTGACTCGATGACATACCTAATGATCCAAAGTACACTCGTTAACACCCCTACCCTCTACTCTATTAGGTGTCGAATCATGTAACCCTCCCAAATTGGACAAGATAGCTAACGACTTTTAATTTAAAAAATGTAATAAAACCAGAATATGGATGACTACAAATCATATTGTACGTTGTAACAAATGAACTTGATATTTCAATGGGACTGGTTAATCAGGTTGTTTATCAGTAAAACATGGCCCAGATTTCTATATCTCATGTCTTATAATATAACAAACAGCAAAAACACAACAAACAGGTTTCCCGAACAAAATCTGTTTTATATCCTTCAGTATTCAATGGTGATACCCTTCATATTGATATATAAAATATTTTATATTCTTCAGTATTCAATAGCGATACTCTAGATATTGATGCAAGATATAGTAAAATGTTTTATATCCTCAGTATCCATTGGTGACACCCTTAATTTTAATACAAGATATAATAAAGGAAAACGAAAACCGAACCCTGCATGTAAAAAGTAAAAATAATATTGATTTAGTGCCTTTAGTCTGTGTCCTGATATTGCACAAATATCCCGACCAAGGCGGGCTGGTCAGAGATCTGGGACCGCTGAGTAATGGACGGACCTAGTAAGTAAAGAGGGATCGCGGTGACTCGTAGGGAAAGACGTTGGCTTGCTATGAAAACCCGACGCCCGGTGTACACATTGGCGTACTCGTAAAAGATCACTTGTCAATTGACTCAATTGGAATTCGATATAAGAGTAGGCCATAGTGCAAAATTTCCCTCACAGCACACTGTATAGCTTATGCCCGTCTTCATTAAGCCAGTCGGAGCAGAACAGTAGGACGTTAAACCCATTTCATTTCATCTCAGTAAGTAAAAGATGGTTGGGTCGGTTGCTTCTAAAATCTTATACGCTACTGACCCCATTCAATACCGTTATTAAATAGTACGTAAACTTCAGATATGCATTTTAAAATCTATTATTCAGATCGAATGAAACATATTTATTATTATTACAGTGAATTAGATGTTATAGAAGTGAAACCGAGAGAAGAAGACAATAATAGGTAAGTAATAGTTTATATTATACGTCCTTAAAGGAGCTAAATCGATAATATTTGGGACCTAGAAATTGACACAAATGGGTCGCAACGCATATAATAATGTAATATGAAGTTATGTTCGGCGAAATACACCAGAGGTCTCAATCGAATGGCAATCTCCAGCCTCTGGTTATTCCAGTCTACACCGATAGTATTCATTGCGCATGCTCTCCAAATAAGAATATGTGGTCACCGTTTGACATGACTTGTGGAATATGTCTAGCCTCGTTCTCCGGGTCCCTTGTTACAAATGGCGCTGAAACGCATTATGGTACACGAATCGTGTACCAATGGTAAAATGTTTTATCATATCTTAAATATTGGATATCAGAAGCCCATCTTTCCCCGGTAAGATTACAACATCATTGTTGATTTGAATTGGCAAATAATTCGTGTTTTCAATGTCGAAGACTTTGGATGGTATTGAGTTAGAGACTTAGCTACTTTAACGTCGGCCTCACTTTTATTTTTGGTAATGGTTCTAAATGTCAGATTTAAATGAATATAATTAAATGTGATCAAGTTAACTTTCGACATTTAAAACCGTGTTATATCATCAGGTTTATTATATTATATCTTCAAATTAAAGATACATTATGCAAGCGCTAAATCTGTCTATTGCAGGTCTTTCTTTAGGCCTGAAATGTTTTCTAAATTATTAATTAGACATTTATTAACCTATCCAGACCATAATCAACCCTAGATACCACCGCTAGCCTGCGATCTTGAGTGGATTATGAGCCGATTTACTGCACAACTTTCTTCCATGATTTAACGATTAAATGGATAATCGAGATTGTGCTGTTTATCGTACAGACTTTAATAATGATGATCGAGGCTAGGCTGAAATTTCAATCGCTTAGTTCTCGGGACATAGTGGATCAATTTGAATAAATTTTTCAGCAAATTGCCTTTACATAACTATTATAGTGAGAACTGCCAACTCGTTAAGTTATTTTTGAAAATCAACGCGGTTGCATAATTAACAGTCGGGTTAGTTTTGTCTATTAAGCCGCGTGCGTGTTGTATCATAAGGTCTGTCATTGAGTCAACTGACGTGGTTTCGATTCCCCGGTTGTACGTGACAAGGAGTGGGGTCGCCTGTCCAACCTCGTGGTTTTCTCCGTGTCCCCCGAATTTCTCCCACTGCTAAAGACTGCTACTCACAAGCGAATTATTGAAAGAAAACTGAACCATATGTTAGTCCCGAAATGACTTAGAATCGACGTTAAACCCCATTTTTCTTTCTCGCTTGTTTAGGGTGGAGCTTGTCAATATTTTAACACATTATATTATTTGTATTATCTATTAAATTATTGTCGTATTTTATTATCTGATGGAACTTTTAAATTTCAATTGTTATATTTTATTTTATAAGAGAAAATGGAACTGACCAACCTTTATATGGTGACGAAAACGGAAGAAGCGTTTATGTACGTAGTTTTTATATTTCCCCCACATCTAAATCTATTTGTTAAGGCCAGCTCAATTTTTGTCAAGGTCGCTGAGACGTAAATAAGGTTAAGGCACGTGATTGTTGGCGAGATTGTAGGTTAGGGTTAGGGTAAGCATGGGGGCTAGGTACAGGGTTACGGCTAGGGTTGGGATTAGCGCTAACCCTGTTTACATCTCGTGACCTATGACGAAAAATTGAGCTGGCCTTATAATTTAGCACTAACCATTTCCCCAGTGAATAAATCGGTGGCCATATTTTAAATAAATGTTTGGAAACAATGTTCGTATATGAAAGGAAAAGATAGATGCTTAAGATCTCAACACAATGTCGGTCATTTTGAGAATAACACCTGTTAAATTTCTGTCTTTGGTCACGTGTGAATTACTGGAGACGACAATATTGCGCCCCTGACATTCCTCTACAGTATCCTAACCACTCGACTAACCCGGTTTCTGTTTGTAAGAGAAGGATCGAACCTTAACCTCCTCAATAATTTTATTTATTCTAGAATCATACCATTTGACATTCAACAATATTTTCTGGTTTTTATTTTTAATCAAATCTGATTTTAATATTTCAATAAAATATGGATTTGACTGAAAGTATATTCATTTATTCTGTTCTTAAATTGTTGTACGGCGAAACGGCACTTGACTTTATGATCTCAAACATTCAACGGCTTTTCAACATTCAACAATTTTTTAACTGGTCTAGTAGTTTTAATATAAGTTTAATATAAGTTTAATATTTTTATATAATTGTAATATAATTGTAATATAAGTTTAATATAAGTTTAATATAAGTTTGATAAAAGTTTAATATTTTTATATAATTTTCATATAATTTTCATATAATTTAAATATAAGTTTAAACATGCGTTATGCAAGAGCTAAATCTGCATATTGCAGGTCTTTCTTTAGGCCTGAAATGTTTTCTAAAGTATTACTTAGACATTAATTAACTGATCCAGGCCTTAATCAACTCTTTCTTTAGGCCTGAAATGTTTTCTAAAGTATTAATTAGACATTAATTAACTGATCCAGGCCTTAATCAACTCTCGATGGCATCAGATTTCTCCGATATTAAATAGATTAGAATGGTTCAGCGATACTTTGATTTAATCAAATATGGAGGACCGAGACTTAGCTTCGATCAACCAGTACGGTGGTTGAAATTATTGCACACGTCTGTCAAACCTTTAAAGGCTAATATCTTCGCTTGCAATAGAGTAATTTGAATGAAATTTTCAAATTATTCATTTTACATCATCTACTTTCGAACTATTATAGCAAGAATGGCCAGTTCTTTATCTAAATCTTACATAATGTATCTTTAATATAGATTTAATATAAGTTTGATAAAGTTTAACATTTTTATATAATTTTAATATAAATTTTATATAATTATATAATTTTAATGATTTCAACATAATTTTAATATAAATCTGATATATCTGATACATCTGATATAATTTTAATAATTTTAATATTATTTTAATACAATTCTATTTCAGTATACGGCCCGAGTACATCCCACCAATCAATATGACTTTAAAAGATTAACCACAGAAGCATCCGTCAACTTTTCCCTTCTCATGGCCAACTTCCATCAGTTAAAAGCTGTACTGACCACAGATAAACTCCATAAGAACTATTTTCTAGTGAATTTAATACTATTGTTGTTCTCTATATTTGGTCAAACGGTGCTGGCGGTTCTACAACTTATTCTGTGGTACAAAGAACGAAGCAGACGGCAACAAGAAAAGAGAAAAAAACAGAACAGACGAAGACGAGATTTAGAAATGCCAGGAATTGATGTTCATCATACACGTGCATTGTCAATTTACGCATCAAATAGTCAACAGATAGACCAGCTGATTCTAGCCAGCCTGATTCTTGTTTTATTGGTTACCATTGACAACCTGGCCATACATGTTTTATTAGGGTTGGGATTACAAGATAATTATAGAGGTGGAACTATTCCAAATCAAAACCTAAACAATATGTCTGTTTATTTATAATACAAAATACGTATGTAATAAATATTTGTTTTAAGGCATTCTTATCATTTACTGTTATGTGTTTACTAAGTCGGAAAATACAACACAGCCCCCCCCCCCCCCCGTTCGCTTTGGAAACACAGGAAACTAAATGTTGTGAAATAAAAAATAAAAAAATTTCGATAATATTTTATTTTAACTAAATTTTAGTTTTTCATTTCGTTGTAATTTTGGGCGGTATAATCTGTAGACTATAGTCCTGTGGCCACAATCGTAGAGGCCAGATTCACCACGATGGTAAGATGAATGAATGTATGATGTTTGATTGAATAATCAGAAGTTTCAACGTGGGGTTAGTCATTTTGTCCATCTTAAATTGTATTTTATGACATTGGAGATATTTTATCAGAAGATTGTCTGCGAACTCGTCCTTCGTAAAAGGGGTAATTAATTGCCCCCCTCCTCTAATATATCACTGCAGAGAAAAGAGTCATCCCAATTTCGTAAATATATGATTTATTTACATCGTAACAGAATATAACATAAATACATCAATACTACAGAAACTAGACTATACAGGAACCAAACTACATCGGGAACTAGACTACGACAGGAACACATATAACAATATTAAATCCACCATTCCGCCCCTCTGCCAAGGCAGCGGCTGAACTCGGGCGAGTCCATACGCCGGTCTTTCGTCTGCGTCTCTCCTCGGCTCTTCGTTTGTCTCGTATATCTGCGTCTCGTTATATAGCCCCAATTACACTGCTTATTTCCTTTGAAGTCATGATCAGATCATCTAAATGATCGTTTAATTTGATGAAAGTTATAGAGTACTTTGTTACAGCTTCGGGGGCGTCACAAGCCATGTGGAACCATCGGGAGGCATACACGTTTTCTGGGTAAAACTGGCCGAGGAGATACTACATCTGCCACTACCCGACCTTTTGAAATAGAGATTGAAGCCCAGAAGCACATAATGCAGTACTTAAAACTTGAAATAGAAGATTTGAAACGCCATAATAAAGTCAGCTCGAAACTTTACAGAACCCATTGAGCACTAAAGATTTATCACATCCCATGAAGGGCTATAGATCTTAACTCAATAGCAATTCAAAACCTAGGATTGACACCAGAAGACCGTTTAGATTCCCACGGTGGCTAGATGGTTAAGACGCTGGCTCGCTAGCCTGGAGGTCAGGTGTTCAATCCCTGCATTGGTCGAGAAAGTTCATCTGGATTTTCCGACGTGGTTTCCCCTTGTCAGTCGTGCAGAACGGAGGGCCTGACAAGGACAGCTGTCTAGTCCTTCGGATGATACGAAAAACCGAGGTCCCGTGTATACATTGGAATGCACGTAAAAGAGAGTAGGTGATAGTGCCGATGCCCGGGCAAAATTTCCCTCATAGCACACTGTATGTCCGTCTTCATTAGCCCAGTATAGGAGCAGAACAGTAGGACGTTAAACCCCATTCCATTTCATTTCGTTATTCGATCCCGGTATTGGGCGCGAAAGTTTATCAGAATATTCCGACGTTCCCCCACTCGTCAGTGGTGCAAAGGTTAGAGGTTCTTTTGTAGTTTCACAAAATAGTTAAATAGGGAACTATACAAAATAATTAAAGAGACATCTTAGGTAGATTCTCCACATAAACCTTGATAATCGATACCCACTGATTTTACTCTTCTCATTCCTGTAACAAACGAATTCTCTAGAAAACAAGATGAAGACGATGTATTTGGTAGCTTTACTCGTCTAGGTTTTAGTGGCGATTGCATTCGCAGAACTTCCTTCAAGTTCAAGCAGCGGGTTTCCCTAGCGGAGTAAGAAAATCGAATAACAATGATGCAACACCCTGAAATACAAATATTTACACGTCTCTATGTTAATAGCCGGATGATTTTATAAATCTTTGTCCATTTATTAATCAAATTCTATTTATTAATTATATTCTTATATTAATTACAATTTCATATTAATTAGAATATATCATTAATTACAATTTCATATTAATTACAATATATCATTCATTAAAATTTCATATTAATTACGATATCATTAATTACAATATATCATTAATTACAATTTCATATTAATTACGATATCATTAATTACAATATATCATTAATTACAATTTCATATTAATTACAATTTCATATTAATTACAATATTAATCATATCATTAATTACAATCTCCTTAATTACAACCATATTAATTACAATATATCATTAATTACAATTTCATTAATTACAATTTCATATTAATTACAATATATCATTAATTACAATCTCATATTAATTGCAATATATTATTAATTACATATCAATAATATGTTAAAGATGCATTATGTAAAATTTAGATAAAGAGCTGACCATTCTTGCTATAATAGCTTAAAAATAGATAATGTAAAATGAAAATATTGAAAATTTCATTCAAATTACTTCATTCTGATCCAAGTTATGACTGTTTGTAGTTTTGACAAGTTGTGTGCATTGTGGTAACCAGGGCACTGGTATATTTGAGACTTAGCCTCGCTTTCCTATTTCTAAATTAAATTTTTAAATTGCGAATCGTTTTAATCTAGTTCAAATCTCGAGTATCCGATGCCACCGAGAGTTAATTATGGTCTTGTTTTGTTAATAAATGTCCAATTAATAGTTTATATAACATTTCAGGCCTAAAGAAATACCTGCAGTGCCGTAACTAGCTCAGAGCAACGAGGGTGGGTGGGAAGCTGTAATATTGACTGACAATGTATATCTATTTTTTTATGGTCGAAAATTGTTTCACAGGGCCTGAAGGCCTGCAATAGGCAGATTTAGCTCTTGCACAATGTATGTTTAATTTTTATCATTATTTATTTTAGAACTATTATAACAAGAATGGCTAGCTCGTTATCTAAATCTTACATAATGTATCTTTAATAATCATTAATTACAATTTAATATTAATTGCAATCTAAAGTTAATTAGAATCTATTATTAATTATAATTTAATATTAATTACAATCTGTAAGTCTCTGCCGCCTGTAACACATTACACAATGCATTTGTAGTAGTTCGATTTGTCACATTCATTTTTATTGAACTTACAACCTCTTTATTTGACTAAACGCCTTCTTTTATACAGATACATCAGCATTGTGCACACGATGTTAAAATATATTAGCGCCATATTCAACAGGTAAAAAACAATAAAACGTAACACTTGAGGTTGATAGACTGACTAATTCTTCATGGCCACTTCCGTTATGTTTGTATTCGCTAATGGAGAAATACTTAAATCAAACATCCATAATGTGTTTGGTTAGTCAATATGGTCGAATTTGAAGATGGATCTTAGATACGACCAAATTTACTTCTAGATAAATGTGGAATGCATGTTATGATTCGTCATCATATGACTGCAACGTCGAAGATGTAGATGTCGTTGGAGAGCCGTCGTCTTAGAAACAACCAATAACCCCCCTACTTCATATATGCACCCATTGCGTTCGATTCTCAGTCAAGTTTGTTTTTTATAAAATGTATGTTTTCTCCAGTTTTACTTAATGCATTTTCATTTAAACAGCAGAGCACCAATGATTTATGTCAACATAATCACCCCCCATTGTAGACATTGGACCCCCCCCCCCATCTCGAAAACGCCCCATCAGACGCCTGATCAACACCAGATTCAGAATCTACGCAAACAAACTGGTCTAGAAAAACTTGGTCTCATAACCATGCAAAAGTGGAAGAGGGAAAGGGAAGGAAAGACTAAAAATAGATTTGGTTTGTTTCGTGAGTGACGGAGTAGGGATAATTGCCGAGCTTTATTTGTCCATTTATCTCAGCACAACACACACAATACGGGGTTGGGATGGCCTAGTGGTCTAGAGCAGTGATTCTCAACCAGTATGTCGTGGCCAACAGGTGTGCCACTTGATTTTCCTAAGTGTGCCGCGAAATTTCGAACGGCACACTGAGAACATGCGACAAACCATGTGATTCCAATTGAGTATTCACTAGTGTCTACTCGCAAGTTTATTTAGTTTGAGTCATCTATGTGTCTATGACTCATACGCGTCTATGGTTTTATGCCGTCTATGACTTGCCATGTTTTCATTTTGCAAAATTCAAATATTTTTCATATATATTTAGCCAGGTGTGCCGCTATTTTTTCATGTGTTCCAAAGTGTGCCGTTGGCCCAAAAAAGTTGAGAACCACTGCTCTAGAGGGCCACGATATCTGGCCGGTTACCCCTGGCTTGCTGTTGTGGTTCCGATCCCTGGTGTGAGCGTATGTAGCTTGGGGATAAGGGCGCCTTCTCAACCTTGTTTGTTTGCTCCGGGTACTCCGGAGTGCACTAAGATAATAAAAATGAAAATATAACGAAAATGTGATATCACACTAAGACCAACAACACCCAATAAGTCATAATAGTTACCTTCCTTGCTCTCATACCGTGTGGTTATATGCATGGCTAAATCTATTTGTTAAGGCCAGCTCAATTTTTGCCAAGAGGGAGAGATAAATGGGGTTTAACGTCCATTCGAC